CAGGACATTACTTATACTTAAAGATGTAACTTTTCTGGTGAAGGGTCCACTACCTGCTTGACTCATGTAGATCTTATTGCATTGCCAGGTTCCACAGTAAGGCAGTTTTTTTTTTTTTTTACCTTTTAAGACCTACAAAAACATGCATTCTTCCTGTGAGCAGGGAGATCTCTCCATAGAGCTGAGCTGTAATTTAGCTTACTGACAGTTTAATGTCTTAATGTGAAACAATTCTGACAAAGCAAAGGGAGAGATGCAAGTGGTGGACCCTCTGTCAGAAACGTTGCATAGTGCACTTTTAAGAGTTACGAGTAAATGAGTTTTGCTCCAGTGTTTTCTCATGCAAAATCAAATTGTAATACATTTTTACAAAAATATCTCAATACAAAAAATATATGGTTTGTATAATAAAATGTCACCTCATAGTGGAAACTGACCTTTTGATGCAGTAAGATTGTTCCTGTAATGTCTTCAATGATTTACACATTACTCCACCATAGAAGAAAAAATATTTGAACTGTTTCTGTATCTGATTTTGTATCTTGTATCAATTTAAGCCATCAAATGTCATTTGTGGCTGTCACCTCACACTAAAGCTGCTGGCAAGAGCTCCAACTCCCTCCAAAAATCTGACTGTTGCAATAGAAAGTATATGAATGAAGAGAATCATAAACCACGTCTCGTAACCCACCATAACAACACATGATAAATGGATTTTGGCTTGAACAATGGGGAAAATAGTTGTTCGTGTTTAAATATTTGATCAAATTGTTTCTATTCAACTGAGCATTGAGCTGAATGAAGTGTGTGTTAACAGAGAGCAGATGGAGCGCTCATGTGACTGTTATAAGATAAACAGGAGGATACTGTAAACATGCACGCCACACCTGGCCTCTGCAGGTGAGCGCAGGTGGGACAAAGAATACATGTATTCAGCAGACCGTAGCATTATTACAGGCTTTGAACAAAACATTTTTAATATATGAAGCTGGAATACTGCTTGTACAAAGGAATTTTACATACAGGGAGATAAAAAGTAAGATATAAAAGACAGATAAGAGATAAAATTAATGGATGGTATTTTGTCTGTGACTGATATAAAACTGATATTTACTATTTAGTATAATATAAAGTAAGAAAGCAAGTTAGAACAGGACATCTCTCTGATTTTATATCTGAAATGAGAATGACCAATGGTGTATGGACTTTAAAACACAAAGGCGAACCTGCTCCACTTAATGACATCATGAGGTGCTACCAAATGTTTTAAGCTCTTAAGAGAGATACAGCCTACAGATGCCAAGTTACTCAAACAAATGTGAATGACAAACACAATATATTGGAAGCAATATATAGGAAATGTTATAATATGAACACTAAAAAGGTAAGTTTTGCATCTCGAGTTTTTTAATATTTGGGAAAGTAAGAGTACATTTTTAAGCTGTATCCAACCAGACTTGTTGAAAGTTCAATAATAATGTATAATTCTTGTCTTTCTAAAGGTACACTATGTAACTTTTTCTTGTGGAGGGTCCAACATGTGCTGTTTTGTCTCCATGGAGATAAGATATTTCTTTAACATATCCATAAACACCACCAGGCCAAGTTACATGTCATATCCTTGGAGACTAGAGAGGTTTTTAAGGAGTTTTGCAGAGAGAAAAAAGTTCAGTGTCATGCTGTGGAACATTCCAGGCAAAGCAAAAACATCTCCACATTATTCCTTCTGCCATAAAACCTTTATATAGACAGTAAATTTTCTGTGTACCCTGCTGCACGGAAGCTTGAATGTACATTCTGGTGTATGCTGCACGCAAAGGAGTCGACGGGGGGGCAGGTACATGATTTTATTTATGGTTTGTGCACGACCAGAGATCTGTGAACTGATATGCCCTCAAAAAAGTTACTTACTGATCGAAACAGTTGACGTCAGTGAAGCTAAATAGTGTACTAAATAGTATACCGAAAGTCTACCGTTAACCGAAAGTAACAGTACATGTTTTGACCGTTGCTCTTGTGTCTGGGGTCAGAGGTCAACAGGCCTCACTTTGATACTCCTGTACATAAGACTGTTTGTTTGTCTGGATGCCACACTGGACACTGAGCCACCCTCTCCAAGCTCCGATGGGTGCGATAAGGATGGCAACACTTGGGTTACCTCCAGGGTCAAGTCAAGCTACACCCAAATGTCAAACCTGGACATCACATCCAGCCCGGACATGTCAAAGGTGCAGCGGAGCAGTTTAGAATAGCTACACAACATGAGAACAAAATGAAATAATTTATCAAAGTATAATGTAGCATGAGGGGATGGCTTTGCATGTGTCTATATGATCTGATAATTAATCCTTGTCCAGCTGCCTTCTTGGGTTGAACTTGAGAAGAGTTTGAAATCCATCTTGATAAGCAACCACAGGAGGCTGACCACTGCCAAATAGCGGTCACAATAGACATTCATTCTGTGTATGTTTATGCCAAAGGTGCTTTCCAAGTCACCTGCGATCTGTCATCTGCATTGAAAAGGTCAAGTCCTGAATCTCACAGTCTTAGATCACGAAACACAACGCTGTACCCTCATAAATTAAAGGTTTCTTGGCAGCAGTCTCCTATCCAAAAAGTCAAGGTGATAGACAGTCTGTGATCCTCAGGTATCATTGGGTGCGTTTGGGTTCGTAAAGGAGAGGACAGGCATGGAAAGAGAGATGGGCGGTGTCAGTTGCGTCTTTTTTCCCCTTGACATGAAGTGCAATGATACAACACTTACTGTCTGTTTTAAAGTGAGTCGTTTACCTGACGCTGACTGTCCTCAATCCCCAGTCTCCTCAGCGGACCTTTCCTCTATAAAGGACCCATATTATCCTGTTTTCTATGTTATTATAATGTTGTTTCCTCATCATAAACATACCTGGAGTTGTGTTTTGTTTCATTCACACACATTTAAAACGCAAATCCTGCATATTTAATTTGTGTTTGTCTCTCAAACAGAAAACACTCTGCTCTACTTTGTGATGTCATGTGGTAATACAGGAAGTGCTCCACTGTGTTTTAACCTCCATACACCTTCACTTAGAATAATTTGGATAATTTCAGCTCTGGAATTGCCCATTTCTACTGAACTAAAGCAAAAAGGTAGGTATGGGTATCACAAGGTGGAAGAGAGCCTTTTTAGCTTTGGAGATGTAAGCAGACTAAAAATAAAAGATTACTCAAACACAGGTGAATGAAATAAAACACAACTCCAGCTACGTTTTTGATGAGATAACAACATCGTAACATCAATCAAAACATTAACCATAAGCCAACCAACTATCATCTTGTTTAGGTAAAGCAAGATAAAAGGTGAAAGCTTGCATTTAATCGGTTAGTCCACAGATGTTTTGTTGCTCAAAAAAATACATTCTTACTGTCAGCGAGTTAATTTCTCCACAGATCTGGTTTGTAACTTGTTGTCTCCTGCTTGGACAAATTTAATGCCCCACTTTGAAACATTTCAGGCTCAGAATTATTGATATTGTGGACCTTGATGTCAGACGTGGGAACTTGCAAGTCATGACTTGGACGCAAGTCAGACTTTAGCCACTATTTTTAGGACTTGAGACTTGACTTGATAAAATACGACTAAGACTTGGGATATGACTTGGACTTGAAGGTCAATGACTTGGCACTTGACACAGACTTGAGGCCTATGACTTGAGAAGACTTGATGCTTCTCCTAAAAATATATACATTTTTAGAAAATACTTTTCTCTTTTCAGTTATAAGCAGTGCTTAATTTTACAAGAACACACTAAAATATGTCCTTCCCACTTCTACATTTGTTACTTTGGATGTAACTGAAGTACTATGAGATGGTATCATCAAATGTACTACAGTAATATACAGTACAACACAGTAAAACAGAGGGAACAACATAGAACATGATTCTTCCACAAAATAACTGTTATTTAGCACTGAAAATCTGAATTATTTCTATTCTGACCATAGTGAGACACACTAAGACTCACACTTGTCATCTTAACAACATTTCTAGAACTCTTATATAAATACTCACATACCATGACTTCTTAAGTACAATTTAGTTTAAAAGTCATATAAATTGCAAAAGTCTTAGCTATATTTGGTACTTTGGTTTAAAGACCTGAAATGACTTGAAGCTCTAAGCAGACGACTTGTGACTCGAGACTCGACTTGGACTTGCCTGTCTTTGACTTGGGTCTTGACCCGGACTTGAGGTCAAAGACTTGAGACTTACTTGAGGCTTGCAAAAGAACGACTTCACACCTCTGCTTGATGGATTAGACCACAGGCTACTGGATGGGAGCTGCCAGTAAGTGAGAGTTTTGATGTGTTGGAAACAGTGGTAAGTTTGTGAGCCATGTTGACAGGTTCAGAACATCTCCAAAAGTCCAGCTCTTGTGTGTTTTTATAATCTGCAGTAGTCAGTATTTATAAAAGTGAATCAAATAATGTAAGAGCTTCATAGATGGTAGCAGACTTGTCAGTTAGAAATTACATACATTTTCCAATATTTTACCACTATTTTACAACATGGTGGCATCGCCTCTCCACAGATCTGACCTGTTACTTGTTTTGGTGGCATTAACTGCTTGTTGCTGAAAGAAAATGAGTTTAATACCATCTACCTCACCACCAGAAAATGATTAATTATGAACCTATATTACATTAAATTGACTCTTGTGAGCTTTAAACCATGTTATAATGTTGTTACCTCATCAAAAATATACACAGAGTTGTGTTTTGTTTCATTTACACATTTGAGTAACTCTTTATTATTAGTCTGTCTGCATCTCAAAAGCTCAAACTGCTCTGTTCAACCTTGTGATGTCATGTAATGGTAAAAATATACTGCACAAACTAAGTAGGCTAATATCAAAACATAAATACAGAAACATCTTATTCAATTTCAGGTACTGTAGATCATAAACTCACTTGAATCATGTCATTTTGAGTATCTACATTTGACAGAAACACATGAGCTGTTTGCATTGTCAGTGATTTATTCAGATCAAAGAGAAAGCCCCGTGGGAACCTTCTCACTCTGACATCCCGTTTATTACCGACGATAAAGGGGTCGCCCATCAACCCCCATTTTGTTTATCTTTCAAAGCTTACACAAATCTACAAAACTCACATCAAACTCTGGCACATATTCAGCTCCCCAAAAGAAAGGAATTCAAAGATATTGTGCGATTGATGGATGTCTTTTGGTGAAGGTATGCATTCTGGGAGTTACAATATGTCTTCCACAAATCAAAAAGGCAAGAAAAAATGCAAAGCAGGTGTGTCTTTGGGCCAGAGCTCTATCTGTCTGCCAAAAAGCACAAACCCTTCCCAAAATGTTTGATTAGGAAAAGGCAGGTCTCCAAAGAAACAATATGAGCTGGACTTTTTAGATAAATGTTTTGGATACAATTGGATTACACATGTGTTTCGTAAAAAAAAAAAGTCTCTTGGCAGTAAAAGGGAATAGCGGTCACTCCTTTGGCTTGCTTTTCTGTTTCCTAGCACCAGAGGGCATTCAACACTGAGAACAAACAGCTGTGAGAGATACAGGAGGGGTGGTAGCTTTAAACCAGTGGGACCAAAGACACACACAGTTAATAATTTTAAACACAAGGCTTTTCAACTGGTTTAGTTAAATCCAATATGTCTTTAACTTTTTAAAGGTGCACTGCGTAACTTTACTGTGTGTCCATCAGCTGTTTGTGCACTGCAAAAAAGCTTGGCCAAAATTTAAAATATAAACACTTAAATCTATCAGAAAATGACTTAAAAGAAGTGAAATTATCTGTCCATGCAGCAAGATCATTTTACTTGACAAAATATAATCTTAAAATAAACTACCTCTAGACTAGAATTAAGCAGTCTCTGGTAAGTGTTCATGGGCTGGAAATAAGTTTATGGATGTTTTAGTTTAAGATAAAGGGACTTGAGTTTCAAGCAAATCTGTATCACTGAATCTAAAAACAAGTGTTACGGGGAAAACTATGGTAAATGGATTGTAGCTTCTTTTAAATTTTTATTGCCTAAATTTAAGATTTTCTGACTAGTTGAGTCATGGAAGGAATATATGTGATTTTTTATTTTATTTTTTTTAAGATTATACAACCAATTCAATTCTATTAAGTAGATAATAAATCTGAAAACAAGATAAATAACCTAATATAAGTTTTAAAATCTTGGCCAGATCAGAGAAATTTGCAGTGTGCCTATGAAAATATTATTGCTTTGGGCTGAAATGTTCCACTACAGTATGGCAATAAACTTATGTCTCCATATGTCACCAGACCAAGTTACAGGTCAGATCTGTGAAGACGCAACCCCAGTAACAGTAAGAATGTGTATTTTTAACATTGTTTTTTTTTTTTTTTTTTTCAGTTAATAGATCCGCAATGAGATAAATGTTTAATACTATACTGTGTACCATTCCAGACAAAGCAATAACATCTCCATGGAGACAAGCAGGTGGCAGACCAGACCACGCAGTGCACCATTTAAGTAATTGCGATCATAGTAAATTTGAGCTATATTGCATTAACGTGATTACATTTTCTTAACTATTAACTATATTTTGATTTCACTATAATTAAAAACAAACCTGCGAGATACTTTTTGGTCAAGGCCCTACTTGGAAAGCACCAGATTATATTGCTTTGTAATTAGTTCAACACACGCCTACAGATGTGGAGAAACACTAGACTAAAAGAAATCTTAAGATCCATATTAACAGTTAGTAAACAGTGGTAAACCAATAGTGAAGGAAATACAGAGCCTTAAAAGTACAATACGTAACTTTTCCTCTGCCCAGTTGTTTCCATGGAGATGTTATATAGGAGGTTCTACAGTATGACATTTATCCATGTGACACCACCATATAGTGTCAGATCTGAGGAGAGCCTGCTCACAATAAGAATGCATGTTGGTTATTTTTGTTTTTGTTTTTATCAATAAAGCTCAAAACTCAGACAAGATAGAAAAGTATAATGCCATACTGTGAACATTACAGGCAATAACAGGCGTATCCTCCACCTGAAAAGTTCCACAGTGCACCTTTAAGATTGTGCATTATCACTTCTTCAGATTCATATTGAAGCCATAAATGTTGTTCTCGATTGTCAGGCCCCTCCAAAGCACATTGCATCCATCTGAATCACTCCGAGCTCCACAGTGAAGACAACACCCTCATTCACAGTTACACAAAGACAGTCCTCCAGGCTCTGTGGTCACGGAAAGTTGAAACGCTTTTCTAGTTCTGCCACAAAACACAGATAAGAGCATTTTGGTTTGATGTGGCGTGTCATTGACTAAGTCTTACCAGCTTTTCAGAATGAATGGTGGTTTGTTAGGGAGGTTGTAATGTACCAGATTGTCCACAAGAGGGCACAACAGTGAATAAAAAAATAAAAAGCACACACATCTACTTCATCTTAGGCACTGGAGTCTGTAAAGGCACAGCAGGTGGTAACGTTATAAAAACTTAATGTGTATCTCTTACAAATTAATCTATAACACATATTTAATTTTTTAAAAGTGCCTGATGTAACATGCTTCCTCCTTAAGTCATGCAAAACAGTAGCCTGCGTGTTTTGCATTGAAATCAAAACAGAGGAAGTCGTCCAGAAAGTAAAAAAATACACACATACATATAACACATTTAGTCCACTTTCATAATAACTGTAATAATCAAGTTTAGTTTGAGTCCTTTGGTTCAGTGGATGCGAGGGACAGGGTGCAAAAGGGTCATATGTTCAGCTCCGTTAAAAGGCAGTCGTTGTGTGCAGTAGTGATGGACCACTTCAGGGATACTCAAGAAAACACAGCTGCTCTGATCCAATGTGAAACCGTTCTCTTTGGTCTGGGCGACGATAATGTGCACACAGCCTTGGCTTGTTCTGAGGAAGAAAAGAAAAAATACTGAATGTGCGATTTTTGAGATGGGGTGAAAATGTGATATTTGAGCTGTTCTCTTTGGTCTGTTCTCAAATGTCTGCAGATATCATCACAAGGCCACCCACTTTGAAACACACTCTCTAAACAATTTCCAGTGAAACAATTTGTAGAGAAATAAATGAAAGACACAATAACAGTCCTATAAAATATAATGTGAAAGATCTGCACTGTAGCACACAATGTACAAGTTTTGACTGGAATATGTCTGGAGGGATTGTTTGTCATCTCTGTTTGTCGTCTCATACAAATCCACATGTATCTGTGTATATTTACACTTTGTATCCATTTATCAAAGCTTTTATGCAATATTTGATTTATAAATCTATAGTTCGACGTGTAAAGGAAATAGCCTTAGGGTGAGATCATTAATTCATACATAATACATATTCATGAAACAGAGATTTCCAACAGATAACAAAATATCTTGTGTTACATTTACATTTACAGTAGATTTTGTTTAGATCTGATGGATAGTCTGCCATATACATAATACTATTTACAACCTTTTTTTCTTTTGAGAGGATCAAATTACTGAAATATATGTATAAAAGAAACACTCAGGTAAAATTCATGAAGCCACCCTCAGGTGCAGTTCCATGTTTAACTCACTTGAGGGCGATGGAGTACTTGCTGTTGTCGGACTCACTGTTCCTGACCAGAAAACTGGCTTCTTTACAGGACTGCAGCTGAAACTCTGCCTCCTGGCGAGTCACACAGCCATGGTACCAGCTGAGGGGAAAAATAAATATTAGATGTTTTCCCTCAAACTATGGTTATAAAACGCATCTAAAATTTAACAAGATTGGCTCTGTACGTTCTGATTTTATTATAGAGTCGTATTTGTGTTTCCATCTCTTCTCAACTGCTCTCGGAAAGTTGTTCAGTGTTCACTTATTTAAATTCTTTTAGCCTCATTTACAGGGTTCATTTGAGATGGGTGAAGTGTAGTTTTGCCACTGAGGTGTAGTGTAAAGAGAAACTGAACTGGGCAGTTTTACATTATACCAACACAATCCAACACTAATGTTATTTAAAGAAATGAATGAGTCTGTTATCCTCAGTGTATGGATGTATTTGTTTGGTTTTTTGGCCTGTAAGTTTTAGTAGTGGGCACAGAACTTGATTCACTCACATCTGTGGCGGAGAAGAGGACCCTAAATAAACTCCTCTCCATCCTCGATAAACCCCAGCAGCCCCTGCACAGCACCATCACCAGACAGGAGAGCACCTTTGGCTATTGTCCCTGTCCTGCTCTAGAGACAGACTCTAAGGTTCCAGATGTCTGTACAAGGCTGATGAATGCAAGAGGATGGACTATAACTTTAAATATCTCCTCTGTTTTCTTGTTTGTTTCTGCTGCCAGACTTTGAATTTTCTTCAGGATTAATAAAGTATCTATCTATTGAGTTACAACAGTGATTGGAGAAGAGACATTAAGCAAAGTGTTGAAGATGGGAATTAACGTAACTACACAAAGGCCTGCACTACCACCTGACAGTGCCTGATTGCGTTTGATCTCGGAATCGAAGTAGGGTTGGGCCTGGTTGCTACTTGGATGGGAGACCGCTGGGAATACCAAGTGCCACAGTGGGGCATTAGTGCTTCTAGTGCAAGGGTGTCCAAATCACGGCCCAGGGACCAAATGCAGCCCTCGAACTCCTTCTTACTGGCCCTCAGGCTTTCTGCTGAACTGGCTCAATTAATCACAGGCAGCACTTTTGACAGCTAAGGGCCTGTTTACACAAGAACACTTATGGGTAAAACGACAAAATATTTTATCGGAAGAAATGCCTTTCTTTTAGACGATGATGGCATTTTTGGGGCTTAAAAGCGCACAAATTTGAAACCACCCTCCAGAGTGGAAAAGTTGCTGTAGCGTTTCTGTCTACACTGCCCAAGATGCAAAACCCTGGTGAAATCTGCTCACGTCCTGTCCGCATTTTCGTCATATACATACAGTAAAAAGAAACAAATGTGTCAGATGACATGCATAGCCAATAGAATTCCACACACTTTTGTCTAAACGCGGAATAAGAAGTGAAGATGCAACGCCACTTTTGTGTCTTCTGTTCAGACCGTCATCATATAAATGTAGCCTAAATTAGTAATTGTACCACCATAACATCAATAACATCACATTGCATGTTTATACAGACATAAAATTCATGTTGAAAGCCTTATTAAAGACATGGCGGCTCTGTTAAAAATGTAAAATGCACCATCTGAATGATCCACAGTATTAACCAGTCTGTAGCCTCCACTTCAAATATGTTTCAACATGCAGAAATACACAGAAAAAGTTTGGACACCACTGTTCCAATGGAAACTGTCATTGCATCTTTTAGAGAAGACACTTTGTATGACTGTGGTGAGTGGTCAGATTTGCCGTCTCACTTCTGTCAGTCTACCCCAGAGCAGCTGTGGCTACAATAATGGCTTAAAACCACAGAGTATGGAGTGAATGAGTGATTAAAAACACTAATGCACTATTATTATTTGTATACTTTTTTAGTTTTTATCAAGCCCAGATCTGAACCTATGATCTCCCTTAAACTAATACACCCATTTATAACTAATTTAGAGCTCCATTTCTCCTCCTCACCTTTGCCTTTCGAGGGGCAGTGTGGGGTCGACACAACAACTCTCACTGTCAGAGCTGGAAGAGTTGGACGAGGAGGACTTGAGCATCTTCTGAGTCCAGCTCTTCTGTCGGTGGTGCTGATGTTGTGCAGGGGGATGCTGTGGTTGCCTGGTGAGAGTCAGGTGAGGCGTTTCATCTTTGTGCTGCCGCTCGGGGCTGTCAAACTGAGCTGAGGAGGGGAAAAGCCAACAAGAGGTACATAAATAAGTGCCCAAAAACAACTGTGGATGCCAGATTTGGAAACTGCATGCATGAGTCTTTCTGTAAATAAAAAAGGCCGGTGCTTTGATGTCTCATGCAAGATGGTGTTCAGTATGCCGCTGGTCTGTGCAACCTATAAAATATACATGAGAGGCGGTTTTTCAAAAGTACTTTTATATTGATCCAACACAGAGAAATGGCTTGGTGGGTTCAGAGAATAACTTCCACAATGCGAAGAGGAAATGTGCAAAGTCAGTTATATGGTTTTGACTCTATCTGTGTCTATGTTTAGTGGTGCAAGCTTCTTTATAACAAGAATACACTTAGAAATGTCAAGACAGCATTCCAATGAGGAGAAAAATCCAGAAAAAATGCAACTATTCCCAAATTTAATTTGACAGAATACTTAAATAAATAAAGGCTTGAAAACAATGCTTCAACTGAATAATTCTATTAATATAAATAAACCCAAAAAGATGTTTTTTTTTTATTGTGGAGATATCTAGATTTGCATGCAAGAATTGTTGAAAAACATCAAGATATACTATAAATTTCATATAATAGGTGCACTGTGTAACTTTACTAATTGGGGCTCCACTTTGCTTTGCACAGAATGTTTCACAGTAATGCATTAAATTGATCTTTCTCCATGGAGACAAACAGGTTGTGCCATCAGGTCAAGTTATAGGTCATATCTGTGGAGAGGTGAGTCTGCTCACAAAGCAATGAAAACACCTTGAATTAAATAAATTCAAGTAATTAATTAAATAATTACTTTTCTATCATTGTCACTATTGTGTTGACTGTATAAGATGCATAAAGACTAGCCTTCTTTAGGAGAACTAACTTGCCTACCTTTTAGTATCAGATATGCTGATTTGACATTATTTTCAGCGTACTTGCACTGTAATACCTGACAGAGACCGGACGATGCGCTCCTTCTTCCACTCCCAGGGCAGCTCATACTCAGTCAGAGGTCGTAGGTCAGGCTCATGTCTGGTCCCAGGGCTCTTGTCCTTCTTCTCTGTGCTCCCCTCGTATGGGATGTCATAGAGCTGAGGCAGGAGGGAGTCCTCTTTAGGGCCCTCACCGCCCTCCATCAGCACACAAACCCTCAGCAGGTCCTTTGAGCCACGCCGCCGGATCTCTGGCAAAAGAAAACAGAAAATATCTTCAAAGAATTTTTCCCATTCAGATAAGTAAGAAAACATAAGCCCATTAAGGGTGTGCTCTATGTGAATTAACAATTAAATAGAGATACTGCTGCGTCCGGTATTACACAAAATTGATTCTTGGGATCTTTAAACCGTGTTAGAATGTTGTTACCTCCTCAAAAACATACCTGGAGCTGTTTTTTGTTTTATTCACACATTTGCGTAACCCTTTATTATTAGTCTGTCTACATCTCCAAAATGCTCTGTTACACCTTGTGATGTCATGTAGAGGTGGTTTTCAGGTTAACGGCTAACTTTTAACTTAAGTTCAATAGAGACTGGCAATTCTTGGGTTCAAAAACACAGTGGAGCACTTCCTGTATTACCACATGACACGGTAAGTGAAAAACTGTGCAGTGTTTGTGTGTTAAACATGTGTGAATGAAACAAAGCACTACTCAGTGTATGTTTTTGATAGGGAAACAACATTATAACATGGATCAAAAAATAGTGTACTATAGACTAAGACCTATTCTGTGTATTTGTGCTATACATTGAATGATCCAAATTATTCATCATTCCGAAGCCCATAGTTATAGTTAGCTATTTGCAAAGCTTTGAGAAATAATTGCGGATCACAGTGTATAAGATAATACAATTTCAAACTCAAAACACCTCGACACTTGATACTCCAATTGTAATTAATAAAGTATACGTTACAGTAGAATGTCATTATAGACACAAAATATTAGTAGTTTCTGTATTAGTACCATCTTAAACTACTTTTGATATAGATCCAGACGATTTTGAAACTCAGGAAATGTATAACGTTGATAAAATATTTGCAATTTCTTTATTAGTACCATCTTAAACTTAAACTTGTTTTGATATATATCCAAAAACAACAACAAATTTACAACTTTGACATACTTTTTTTATCAATGCAACTCATTCATATAAATATCACTACTTATTTTTATATCGATTAGTATCTGAGTATCGAAATTGTGACCATCCTGGCATAACCTATCACGAGTTTAGTGAATGAAAACTCCCATACTCCACAGCTCTGAATCAGTGTGACTCCAGATCCGCTGCTGTTTCCTTCGAATGATTAAAAGAGTCATAAATTGAACAGGTCACATCATCAACATCCTCCAGTAACATGCGCACGAACTGAAGCTACAATCTGACTCCCTGCCATAAAACATGTACGCAGACACAGCAGGGCATTGTGTTACCCTTTTAGTTCAAACAATAGAGCGATGGCATGAAAGGTCAAGCCAGCGTGTGATTGGACGAGAGAGTGGCAGTCTTCCTGGATGCTGGGAAGTTTTGATAAATGTTCGTAACAGGTCCATATAGGGGGGGAAGGCAGAGTAGTGGAGTGGAGGCAGGAGGGGGGCTTCCTTTACGGAGAATAGAACCAGGAAACAGAGACAGGAAATGGGAAGCAGGATCAGGAAGCTGCACCCATTGTCCAGTGTTGCTGTGGTAACTCTCAGGGGGTTCGCGAGCGCCGGGGGAGAGGGTTCATGTCCGCGAAGCAGCACAGAGACTGGAAATGTGAATTGTGTTGTTCGCACCAGTGTAAGCAGTAAAATGTCACCTGTCTCTAGTGAAAATAAATACTTTTGTCGACAGGGACGCCACGCTCCTGCAGATGGGGCCAGGAGTCAGTATTCTTTTGATCAATTATATAATACTTTTTTTAGGCAATATCCAAAATGTTAGACAATACTATTATTTAGATTACTAACAATGTCCATTTTCCCCATGTTTATCTAACCACATCACAAAATCTAAACTTCATCCATTTTTTTCCCTCCATATCTCAATGATCTCTGTGCATGTTGTGACTTTTTTTCATTGCTTTCAAACTATCGCAATGATCCTTCATTTTATGCCAAATACACAATTAATCAAAATCCAAATACAAAAATATAGAAAAAGAAAGGAAAGGAAACCCCAACCCATGTGTAATTTTAAATCTCAAAGTTAGATGTGACAAATTCAGAAAAAAATTAGCCTCTCCAGACCTTTGTACAAGCTTATATAATTCTTTAGGGTAATCAATGAAAATTTAAAAATGCATTTAAAATATATTTTAAAATGACTCTTTGATATTGTGACATTGTCAGATGTGGCAGTTGTACCTGTGATCATCTGCTGAGCATCGTAGGGCTCCATGTATCCATCATTCTCCCCGACTCTCTCCGCCTCGCGCTGCTCTCTGGTTTTCTGAGCGTCAAATGGGTCGGCGTAGTCTTCAAGGATGATCACCTAAATCAAAACATTCAAACATTCAAAAAGTAAATAGATTTCATGATTAATTTACTAATTTCTCAATATTGTACTTGTTTTCATTACACTTGAATTCCAAACTTGACCTCAGCATAAAGCATGGGAAATCCAGTATTTACATATTCAAAAGAACAAGTTTCCAAACAAAGTGAAGTCTTCTTTGCATGTGACAATGGTACTGTGGTCAAATCTCCTCAGTGTTATGATATATTATGTGTCTTTTATGTATCTTGTCTGTGATTATAATAAATATAATAACATGACAATTTTAGAAGCAAAAAATTGTGAAATTGAATTTAAATTTTGATGTTGTCAATAATTGTGAATGATTGTTAAATGCCGTGCTATTATGTCGTGTTATGTAATGTTATTTTAACAATAAACATAAACATTTATTCAGTGACATCTCCATTTGTCAATAGCGTTTTTTGTTTTTTTTGGTTTGTTTGTTTTTACAAAGGCCAGTCATTAATTATACCTTAATAATGTTGTTATTGCCTATCCTTTCTATTGCTGTTGTCTTATCAGTCTTTAAATGTATTGTTTATTGGAAAAACCATTACACAGAGGGCAGACAGTCGTAAAATGAAGTTGTCTTTCTCCAATCACTTCCTGTCAGGCTCACTTGCCAAAAACAATTAATTTGACATTTGTTACCATTTGGACTTTGGGAGTTTTAAAGGCTTTGAGGAGGTCAATTAAGCTGAGTGGAGCAGATGGAGATTAATGGTAAACAGGTTTCAGGTTTTCATTTATTTCATCTCCTCATTGAGAAATTGGCCTCAGAGCAAGGGTCAGTAGCATTAACATTAACATAAAGACATCACCTGAGAGCACAAAAGACAAAAGAAAAAACATTGCAGAACTGGACTATATACAATCAATCTTCAATAATAAAACGTTATTATCAAATGACTGCATTATCTAAATTTTAACTTAAATTTTACTAACTAAACTCTTAGCTATCAAACGTTAAAGCTGCTGCTGCTACTGTATTATAAAAAATAAAAGGCGATTTACACCCTGCTGAAACATTACACCCCTGTTTTATTCTTGCTGTCTTTTATCTGTCGTTTTTCTCACCATCTCTCCTCTATCACCTCCCTGTTTTTCATTTTTTTCAAAGTCAGCGCTGGAAGGGACTTGGGTTAGCGCCCGGGTGTCAAGTATCACCAAGCTTTTTATAACATGATAACCTTCACCAGGGGGCCCGAATTCACTGAAAGAGGGACAGAAGGAAGGGGAACACCAAGCAGGATTGACCACTGTGGCTTTGTGCCGTAGGTGGGGGAAACCAGTGGGAGTGAGATGGGTGAGGGGTGGAGAGGAAGAGAAGGAGAGATAGGAGGAAGGCAGGGGAGAATTGGACACAATGGGGAGCAAGACAAAGAAAAAAATGAAACAATATCATTTTTCAGAGCTTGGACTAGATCCTGGTTACTTCTTTGTCAGCAGTATTGTCTTGTTCTATGCAACTATTGAGTGCATCATGCCTCAAAAGTATATTCTCTGTTAATCAAACTAACAAATAATAACAATAAAATCACAAAACTACATGTGCAAGGTTAAAAGTGAAATTTGGATTATGATTTGGGACTTGCAGAGTTGGGTTAAATGTATCTTGTTCAACAAGTTTTAGGTTTCATATGATGCAATGTTTGTGAAAAATGAACCTTTGAATATGACACATAAAAAGCAATAAGGAAACCACATTCTATTTACAACATGCAGGTGTCAAAAATAGTAGTTTTGTGGTTAATAAAGTTGCATTCTGTGTGTTGTATGTAAATTATATATTGTCAGTAGCTTACCGCCTCTGTTTTGCCTTGGGGGGATGTTTTCTCAACTTCGGGCACTTGGTTGTTGATGGCAGCACTGTTGAAGTTGGGGCTTTTGTCCAGCTTGTCCACTCTAATCAGTCTGCTGATGTAAGCATTGGCAGAGGAGGAGATCTTAAGAGGCCGATGTTGTTCCTCAAAAACAGATTGGTCGGCTTTGGAGTTTTTGCACATTTTCCTCGAGAGCAGGTTGTCCCAGACTTTTCCATCCTTTTGTGGAGAGCTGCCACCACTTCTGTTCAGATCTACGGCTGAATTTTTCCTGTTTCTTCCAGACAGCAGAGACCCAACTCCTCCAGGGCTGTCCGAGGAGGAGGTTTTCCGAGTTTTGGATGTTTTGGTACCGATGCTGGCCACAAGTCCGGCTTTGTTGGGTCTCGGCTGGGATCCGGACTCAGAGGCAGAGCGGATCCTGTCAGTACCATTTTTCAGGTTCATGGGGAACTCCTTGAACCACTTTGCCATTGTGAACCAAATGGATACCGGAACAGTTGTGTGTCTGCTTCAAAACCGTCCAGCGCCATACACCAGGGCCCCAGAGACGCTCCTTTACAAATCACAGTCTTTTGTCAAAGAACTTCCGCTGCTTTATGCTCTGATACAGGCTTGTATGCTGCAGGATCTCCACACCTCACTTTTAACCATGTCATAAAGGCAAACTAGGCTCTATTCATGGAAGCCACAAAAATGCTGCAGGTCGGCAATTCACAAGCCTCTCCAGCTCTTTTATCCCATTTGTAATTTGCTGTCCCACCTGTTTCCTCTGTTGAGATTATTCCCCTGGAGTGAAGAAGTGTCTTTTAAGAGGGAAATCCCAAAAGTAGCACAGGTTGCTCCTGCTGAAGATCTTTGGTCCCATTCCCAGAGTGGCCCTTTTGACAAGACTTCCCTGATGCACAGAGGCTCCTGACTGGAGTAACTGTGGAGAAAGGAGGGGGTATCAGAAGTTGAGAATGGGCTGGCAGGAGCTGTGGGCGGTGATAACATGCAAAGTGGAAAGACCCTAAAGCCAAGGTGACAAACTTTCTTGGACAATAGCTTCTTATGGAAACTGATAGTCAGGAGATTTCATTCATAATTTTATCATTAGCTTCTATAAGAATGTGACACAAACATGTTTTAACCTCCTGATGGGCTACTTAGTCTACCTATTGACAATTCAAGCTCATTTAAATTCAGTTTTAAACTAAATCCAATTAAGTTGCAATAGGACAAGTATGGTTAAAAGGTCTTTAATTATATAGTTTGCTAAAACCATGACTGCCACAGCCACATCTTTGATTTCTGTACAAATTTATATTTAAGTGGAGCCCAAAACAATGTTTTCTCCATTCCCCTTGAGTGATCCACTGGGTGGTTGAGGGTGACCACTGATTATTATTAGTAGAAAAAAATGTTTATGTAATTAAGTTGATATGTAAGAGGCTCTATAAAAATGAATCCGCTTAGATTATCAGCAGCGAAAGGTGCAACGCTGAATCTAGGGACTATTTAGCAGCCCATCCCAATAATAAACCAGTTCAGTTTTTGTATACTATTGTCTATTTTGGTGTTATAATGAAAGTAGATGTTGTTTGAGGTGCATATAGTAAATGTGTGAGAATTTCTTACTGACTGACTGCAATCCCCCACTCGGTCTCTAGTTGGTATCTTCCAGGCTGCGCGATGCTCTGCTCGTCCCTCTTTGTCCGGTTGCGACAGAGGCCATTATAATTATGGGGAAATTTGCGTTTTTGAATGAATTATAAATGAATGGTGGATCAACAAGCAAACGCCGAGTGGGGACTGGTTTGGCAATGACACACCAGAGAATTTCGTTTTAAAGGACAGCAGAGCTACGGAGAAAGGGTACAGTTTGCTTCCAAGACAGTCTGCAAGATGGCTAGCTTTCTTCATTAGCATGCTAACATTAGCTAACTAGCTAACGTTAGCATAGTAAACAAGAGCTTTCATTGCGTGTGCGGTTGCTTACAGAAAATGGGATACACCCAGTCTGATGCATATAGCTAATCATGTAAATATGACGTGCACTTTAGTCTTCATATCTGAAGTTTAGAGAAACTGAAAGAAGCCTGAAATATTGGTAACTAGCCACATTGGATAGCGTGGCTAGCAAGTTAGCTTGCATTAGCTTCAACTTAGCTCCACATCTGTAAGTAATCATTTTAGAGAGGGAGGGGTGCTTGCTAAATTGCTTACACTGGCAGCCAGGCCAGGTAACGTAGATCCTTTCTTCTTAAAAAAAAAACAAGAGTGTTGTAGTAAATTTCAGCAAAATAACGTGCACCAGTGCTTTTTATCTGACGCTATTTGGTGACCAAATCCCGGCGTGACAGACACCGTGGGATACCTTTGCAGCTGGAAAGGAGTTTGCAGACCTGGGCCATTGATTTTTAATTTGGCTTGGCCATTACTTCAAATTATAACCACTCACTAGTAAATATGACTTGAAAGTAGACACTTCTTCTCGGCTATAGCCCTTCAGACGTCTTCATTTTTACTTTTTTTCTTGCATATGAACGGTGAAATGCCACTTCACCGACAGTCATATTAGCTAATGGCTGCCGAATCGGGGAGACTACTGGCGGGACAAGGAAAGCGAACCAAAGGTAGGATTTATTTTCACCCATCTGCCGATCCGATCGGATTCATCCATTACTGCGCTGCAATGGGCTGCTCTGGTGCTAGCAAACCCCATGTGTAAACTTCACGACTGTCTCCGGTGGTGGCTGCTCCTCACAGACTGAATCTGTGAACGGGGCCATGTCTATCTCGCTATGAATGTATCTTCAACTACGTTTCCTCGTTCTCATGTCCGTCTTCTCCTGTCCCTCATTGACCTTACCTTACTCTGCCTCTGTATGCGGTCTCTTTCCCTTGCCTGGGTCATTTGGTTTGCCTGGGTCATTTGCGATTCAAGGCTTCATAACCTGGCGATGATAGCGCCTGGATGTAGAGCATCTTGTCCTCATGCCAGTCTTTGTCCCATCATTGAACCCATCTCAACTGTTGGACTTGAAATGGAGGCCCTAGGTTTAAAAGCTGCCTGTCTGTCACTAAGGGGTATTGGCCAATCCAAATGGGATTTTCTCTTGGTAGCTGGTAAACCAATTATTCAATTGAAATTATGAAAAAAATTATAATAATTGTACATCTCTTTACTTTCAGCTCCACAGATGAAGAGCCCAGAGAAGAAGAAACAAAGAAAGTCCACAGCTCAGGTAATGATGTTAAAAAAAAATCAGCAACCTAACAGCAGCAGTATATCTAAGGATAACGTGTTTTATTCTATTTCAGTCAACGGGATTTTCCCATCTCACTGAGTTTGCGCCCCCACCCACTCCTATGGTGGACCATCTAGTGGCATCCAACCCTTTTGACGATGACTTTGGACCCCCATCACGACCTGCTGGGGCAGGTGGTCCCGGTGGTGCTCCTTTTCTTCCCAGTCCGGGTGGTGGAGGAGGAGGCGGCTATGGTGGAGCCGGTAGGATGGGAGGAGGCATGGGATTCATGGGGGGCCCGGGAGGACCAGGTGGAGGCCCTCCTGGGCGACGACCACCATTTGGCCCTCCATCCAACGCTGGACCTCATCACCAGCTAGGGTTTGGTGGCATGCCGGGTTTTGGGGGTGGTGGCGGAGGAGGAGGGGGTGGAGGCGGAGGAGGATTTCCCCCAGGTGGCCCATCGCAATTTAATATGCCTCCGAACTTTAGCCCACCTATGCATCCGGGATCAGGATTTAGTCCTATGCTTTCTCCTGGAGGTATGGGTGGTCCTGGTGGAGGTGGACCTCCACATCCTAGGTTTGGCATGCCTCCACAGCAGCAGCATGGCCAGGGAGGGCACCCTTTCAACAGTCCCCCATTACCGGGTGCAGGTGGGCCAAGGGGACCTTCTCATGGTCCCATGAATTCAATGGGAGGCATGGGCCCTGGTATGAACATGATGGGTGGCATGGGAGGTGGACCTGGGGGTAACATGGTGGGAGGGCTGCCAGGCCTGCCTCCCCAAGGACAGTTCCCGCCTTCACAGGATGGACCCTATCCTGGGCCCAGTCCACCTGGACCTGGAAATGAGGAAGGAAAGAACTTTGGAGCTGGGCCACAGTCTGGACCACAGCAGCAACAAATGAACTTAAATCCCAATGGTCCGCCCCCAAATAACACAACCCCAGGACCCCCATCCAACTCTGGTCCACAACCTGGTGGAGGCTTTCCAGGACATGACGTGCAACAGGCTAATGCAAACACCCCTGGCCAGCCTCCCTCTGCACCTCCACAGTCAAACCCCAACTCTTCTCCTACGGGACCCTTAAATGGGTCAGGACAGCCCCCTCTCCCAGCGCCGGGTCAGCTGCACAGCTCCAGCAACACAAACACCCCAAACTCTAATAACTCGAACCAGCAGCCACAGTCCACACCGCCCCACTCTACCCCAGGAGGCACTCCCTACAGTCAGCAGAACAACACTCCTGGTAGCGGGGGGCCAATGTCTAATGCGGGTCCCAACTCTGGACAGAACAACATGACCAACAACAGTGGAGGCAATACTCCTGGTAGCAATCCGAATCCTCCTTCAAACTCCACCTCCACCCCAAACACACAGTCCCCTCTGCCTGCCGGTCCTGCTCCAGCCCCTGCTGGTCCTGGGTCCGGTCCTGGGAAGCCTGGGGGTCCTGGTATGGTGTTTCCCTGTGGCCTGTGTTTGGCAGAGGTGCATGATGACCAGGATGCAATCTTGTGTGAGGCGTCGTGCCAACGCTGGTACCACCGTGAGTGCACCGGTCTAACGGAGCCAGCCTACGGGCTGCTGACCCGGGAGAGCGCTGCCGTTTGGGCCTGTGATTACTGCATCAAGAACAAGGACATCCAGGCCGTGTTTGTGCGCCAGGGCTTAGGCCAGCTTGTGGCCGCCAACGAGAGCTGAGGAGACAGAGCAATGTACAAGTTCACTCGGACAGAGGCAGTCTTTGGTTGGATTTAAATGACCATAACTGCTACTTAACTTTCTCTTGACTAGCCCTTTATTCACTACAGAGACAACACTCATTGACATTCATGCTTGTAAACAGCACTTTGAGTGTCTCCAATTATTATTTTTTCCCCTAAATGAATTGAATCTTGATGAATGTTGTAACTTCAAATAGCCCTTCAAAAATCCAGTCTGCCAACCAGCAAAGCACTGACACCAACACACTACCTCACACAGTTTTGACTGGCATGGATGCACTCGCACTGACTGTGATCCACTGAGACTCGTGCACTACATGAGTGTGAGGATATTTAAAATTAACATGAACATACCCACTCTATGGAGCGGGTATGCACCACTGTACCTACATTAAGCCCCAAATGTCTGATTACATTGGTTAACAATAAAGTCAAAATTCTTGAAATGATACTATCAGTGCCTAAAGTCAAAAGGGCCTTGAATTATAATTTGACAGCTTGCTTGTATAAAATGTTTATTGTGAAACAGAAGCTCATTCTCTGAATAATATCCCATTCATACGAAACCGCACTCTGCTTTATGCTTTTCTTTGGCCCTGTTCTGACTTCTTACCTCAAGCCAAATTCACCATCAAAATAGCTGTAAATATTGAAATGAGACATTTTCATTTGTGAACACGATTCACAACTGACCAATGAACAAAATGAGTTGTCTTGGGTTAAACTGTAACACATTGGGTTTTATACAAATACCATTTCTTTTTATCTGCAGTAGCCTGCTCATAATTTGTGAACACAGTGCTTTTGGGTGGTGTTGGCATAGCAAGTAGTGGCATCATGTCATATCAGATGTGCTTAGTCCTTTTCGTATAAATGGGAGGGGGTGCATGAAAACCAATGCAGTAACTGTGTTTATGTTCTGGCCTCCACAGCAGGCCTTGAAGTAGACCAAATAACTAAAGAACAATTTCATATTTCTGTCAGGCTGAAGGTGTTTGTAACTATACTTCTCTTGTTTTTCCTCTATTTGATGTCCAAGTTGCCTTTGCTTTTCTTTCTCTCTGCTTTTCCTGATTTTGTACTGACATTTGTGCTGTGCTCTTGCTCCACTTTGGCGCCTCCTGGTGGAGACAAGCGGGTCCCACACCAAGTGGGAAAGGGAAAGGTACTGAACTTTGAAGTAAAAACTGATTTTTGTATGTGTGGTACAAGTCTTTTTCTTATTTGTGATGTGGTTTAATCAATGCCTTAAGCCACTGATCTAGTAATGAAATAATACAATTGATTATGCAGATAGCAGTCAGGGTTTTTACTTCATGTGAAAATGTAGTAGCTTAGAATAATTTAAAGAAGCAGAATCAGATCATAATTATTGATTGAAATTATGAAAAAAGCTGCCTTTTTTGTATTAAGTGTTCTTGTAAAGGGTCTGTAATGGCTCAACACACAATTCCATAGAGACAAATCTGATCAAATTTATTGGCAACTGGTTTTATTAGAAAAAAAAATCTCCTTTTGACATGGTTTCTGAATTTAATTTGTAAGGAAAGTTAAGTGGCTGTAACCTACACAATATTTTTCAGTTTGCCTTTTCTATGCTCTATTTTTTATTTATTTAGCAATTTTGTGGATTCTTTGATAAAGTGAATTTCGTTTTGAGTCTTCAATAGCTTTCAGATCAGAAAGGCATTAGCAGTATTGCAACCTGAAATCCTTTATTGAAATGGCAGAATACAGTGGCATAACTTGATAACTTCAAAGAGGTTCATTAACTTGATAATGTTTTAATAGCTAATTATATCATTGCATTTGTACTTTGATTATTGTTATTTGCGTATAATGAGAAACAACTTTATACAAAACTCATGCTGGGTTCTTTGTTTTGTGCGATTTGACCATCAAAAAGCCTTACACTCAGAGAGAGACCTGAGTCCTGACAAGCCACGCCCACACGGAACCTCCCACCAATGGAGTCGGTGCTGAGGCGGGTTCGTGTCTTACCCATATTCTGGCAACAGGTTGCACAGAGGAGCGATGTCCGTAGTTCATGCAGTTCTGAGTACCATCTTTTCATCCCACCAAGTGCGCGCTGAGGGGCTGGCGTAGCCTTCAGACGCACGTTTAACAGGAGAAGAGGACACAGCGTATTCAAACTGGAGATTGTTGCTGTCTTCGCGGGTGCACAGAAATAAGTGAGTACTAGTATATTGGTACAGCTGGGAGTTGGGATTCAAGTGCACTGTGGGAAGTGTGCTCACTGTAAACCGCGGTTTGCTGAGTGGACATTAGATTAGATATTGGTCAAATGGACACCTGTGGCTTTGTGATAGGACTTGGCAGGGGTTTAAAGACCCCCTCCCCTGTCAAAAACACGCTTTGTAGTCTGCTTCGTCCCGCACGTTTCACGGGTTTGGATACTGCTCAGGTGTCCTTATAATTGGATGTGACGGCGGTGCGTAAAGAGGATATGAGAGGAGGTTATTCTCGCAGGTAAACACTTCAAATCGGATGCGACTGCGTCTCGTTGTGAGGCAGGCGGGCTATTTTAGACCCGTGGCTGGACTTGTTGCTGTGGATTGGACGGGGGCTCGCGGGCGCGTGTAAACAAACCCGGTGGTTTCGACGCGCACCGATACTGACTTACCGGATAGGTGGGTGTGACGCAACGGATCCATGGTGGAGGGCTGGCAGGTGCACTTGGATACTCTGCTCTCCTGGCAGCTGTTTCTTATTCACCAAAGTTGACACATAGTAAAGGACTCTTGAAGCTAATGCTTTATTCTCCCAATTAGTAACCTAAAAATAACTTGGCCAAGGCTATTAAACAAGATGAAAGGTGCATATGCCTATTAAACTGCTACAAAATAGTTCTAACCTAACATGTCCTTGGGGCTATACACTTCAAGGTATCAATGTAAACAAAGCATTTAATGAGAAACTGAAAGGCCGCTGTTGTTGTTATTATTATTATTGCTTTACACAACAGCTTGTTTATTGTAGCCTGTAGGCCTATAGGCTACAGTACATAGCCTATAGTGACATAAATAGCCTATGTAGGCCTGTTAAGTACTTGGCATTTCAAAATACCATTCAAACTAAACTCTTGAGTACAAATTATGCTCCAGCCAATGATTAGCGATAATTCATAGCCCATATAAAAGAATAACTTAGTGTTATCAATAGGTTAATGGTTTGCAGTGGGCTGCTTTAAAACATCTAGAGTGCAGAAGCAAATAAGATATGGTCCAGCAGTAGCTTCGGGACTGGTACTTAAGTATGTTTGGATATTAGGATAGGTTAAGGTTACATAAGGTTGTTACATAGATAATACCATGTGTAATTTTATAGATCAATCCAGTTAAGCATATTAATACCACTTTTTTCTTTATTCTATGATAAGCTGCCATAGATTGTGCAAAAGTATGTTTCCTTTCTGTTGTCATGTCCAAAGGCAGTGAAAATTTTGAAGGAACACAAGATGACACGTGTTGTAGGTATGAATGTGTAAAAGAGGTTGTGCAGTGAGGCTCAGATGTTGCTGGTGGTGGAGAAAAGGAAGAGTGGCGGCGGTGGACTGTCCCGTTCGGTGGCATTCCTGTCTCTATTGACATAGCCTTTTCTCATGACCGAATGAGAGAGAGCACGAGGTGAAGCTGCTGTAAAACATGTAGGAAGAATAGTATGTATTGATGATCTCATCATAGAGATAGGTTATTAGACTCCAGACCAAGAGATTTATGCAGTAGCCTATGGATGTAAGAACAAAGACGTGACTAAATCGTAAATCACCACGGTGAATAAAAATAGAACTAAATAAACCAAACCAACACCCGGACAAAAACAACAGGACTTAAGGTTGTCATTGACATATCTTGTTTGTGTTTCACATTTCACATAATTCACAATTAAATGTTGTTGGGTTTTTTTTGTTTTGTTTTGTTTTTTTCACTTTACTCCATACTGTCTAGCAGATTACAATTGTAAAACAAGTAGTCTAATGTTAACGTGGCATGAAAAAGCAAACTATTAGTTTGTGCTGAATTTACACTCAAGAAGGGTGTTTTTGTTTTTCTCTTAGCATTGTGGTATCAAAGTGTGTTGAATATTAAAGTAGTTGGAAATGTTAGTATTGTGACATTTATAATAATCAAGTTTATCAATTAATTGATTCATATTGATATGCTCAGTCTCAGCATAAGGAGCCCTGTACTTCTAAACTCCTGTGGCCTATATGGCGCTGCTGCTGGTGCTGGGCAGATAGTGATGTACAACTGGGCTATTGTTGGAGTATTTACCAAAGGAACATGTTTACACCTGGGAGCTTTGAGAGAGTTGTTGCTATGGGGCTGGCTTCCTTGACAACTGGATCTTATAAATGTTATAATGTTAACTGATATATTTTTAGTAGAAACTCAGAACAATACTTTGAAATGAAAGTGTAACAATTCCAGAAAGTTTACTTCAAAATGTAAAATGTTTAATTGTCAGTTTGTGACCTATAATATCTTAAATAATTTGTGCTAGTAACTTATTGAATGGTTTTGATTAGTGAGTAATTGTAGCACTGGGCTAAGACTATCCCAGCCACTTTGGACTAGAGACTGGGTCCTCTACACTCATTTATATGGTTATTACAAGGTTAATACTTGGAGACACACATTAACCAACATACAAGTATTAACATCTGCACTTATGTTTTACAATTTCCTCTGATTGTACAAATAAAATGGGTTATGTAAGATTTAAAACATCAAAGATGTATTTGACATTTTTGGAAATAGTGATGCATTTTATCAGAATTATGCACTATGTTTGGCCTTCGTCAATCTCCATCCTGTGTATTAATCTCCTTTATTCTTGTGTACAATGAGCCTAAACTGACAATAAGCATAGGCTTTATGTTGATGACATCCCACTTCTTTCCTCCTTTAATCTGCCCTTATTTTACTAATGCAAAGCACGTGCGATGTAGAGTTTACGGAAAACTTCTGGAATCCCAGGAATGTTTTTGACAAAGACAAAGGCTGACTTTGATTCACTAATCTAACCTCATTACTAGTCAAACAGCCATGCTGGTTACACTATAACCTGTCCACACATAGGGCTAGTTACCGTTTAATTCACTTGGCTGGGAAAGTCAAGCAGAGGTTTCAAAACACACAAAAAACAGACAAAATGAAACATTTTTATTCAAAAATTATTTGAAGGTGCACAATATAAGTTTTCTTGTTAAGGGTGCACAGCCTGCCTGTGTCCAAGTGTTTTTCCAGAATGTGGTGGTACACTTCTCTCCCTGAGGACAAGCAGGTGACGCCAGCAGGCCAAGTTACAGGTCAGATCTGTGGAGCAACTCAACTGTAAGAATTTTGCAATAAAAAGACCTGTAATTGAATAAACGCGAGAAGACAGATGACCTTAATGCCATATTGTGGAACATTCCAGACAAAGCAATAGCAATTCCATGAAAACAAGCAGGTGACAGATCCCTACTTGAAAAGTTACATGTGCTCCTTCATGGTGATTTTGAAAGAATTCATGGGTTTCAGGCAAAGGATTCCTTCCTAATTTTCTTAATTCAAATTAAAATACAGTATATATTAACATTTGCCTTAATATGCACAAATATGAATCAAAGATACATCAATCAGTGCACATGTACATATGTACACGTATTCAGCTGAGAATCAAAACTTGAAACACAACACTGGCTGCTGTACATTTGCCAAGAAAACAGTCCTCTCCTTGGGAAATCTAATAAACATAATCTTCAGGTCCTTAGTTCAATATGTCAAAAGAAAACCCAGGATCTAAACACATCTGAATCTGCACCAAATTATACACAAGTTATATTTAGTCATTTTTGGATGCATTGCTTATTAGATGGATGATGGGGGTGAACATTTATTGATGTGTGGATGCCTTAGCTAGAGTTAGTTTATAGCGCAGCGCCACGTCTCAAAGTAAACAGTGCACGCCTGAGTGAGTCCTCTGAAGTGTGGGCAACGGAGAGAGCCAGAGCAGAGGCCCTGTCCTGACATGGGCCCTGCTGTTTAATGCACCACAGACCCAGGACAAAAGCATGAGTATACACAGTCCCAAAGTCCCATCACCGCCCTCTTCCTCATCAGCCACACATATTAAAATTATTAATGACTTCAGATGAGTGCAGTCTTTCAATGAGAGACAAAATTGGTATAGGGTTACTCAATAGGAAAATTGTATCTTTGAAGAGGACCTTTAACAACATGTAGGCGAATTGCACCAGTTAAGAAAATGTAAATGTTAAGGGTACACTATGTAACATTTTGGTGAGGGCTCTGTCACCTGCTTGTTTCTGTAGATATGTCATTGCTCTGCCTGGAATGCTCCACAGTATGAGATTAAACAGCTCTGTCTTACATCTATTTAATTACAGGTGGTTTATAGCTAAAAAAAATCCATTGAAAAACAGCCTCTGATTGTGAGCGGGTTTGCCTCTACAGATCTGACCTGTAACTTGGTCTGATTTGGTCTCAATGAAGATAGAAACATTTCAGACAAAACAACAATGCACTTTTAAGTAAAAGTATGTTTTTGTAAATGTAAATGTACTTTTTTTTTTTCTTCGTTAGGGGACAAGGGGGGACTCATAACCAGATCGTGAGCCAGGATTTTGGTCAGAATTGCCTAGGAGTAAGATTGGACCTCTCTGTAGGTTTAGGTGTTGATGGGGGACGCTGAGTATGTACCCAGGAAGCCCACCCTGACACGCAGAACACAGCTCTACCCAACCCAGATTCAACCCCTAAACTCTCTCACTGTGAGAGAGAAGGTGTCAGTGCTGCCTGCTCCATGCCCCAGGGCTCCAGTGTACCAAATGTGACAATTCAGTAACTTAATTCTATTTTGGCATCTAAAGTATCCCTATGCATCTCCATCCTGTAATATGATTTGATTGAATGCTGTTAGTTTTACTGTATGATTCATCTGGTCAAATGACTTCCTTTTATGTGAATTATTTGGTACAAGTACATTATTACATAGTGATATTTTGTGTGCCATTTTCAGGAAGCCCCATTTTGATGAATTGATGGGTTTATTGATTGAAAAGGGTCAATGTGGCAGCTCTGCAGTGCAAATATATTGACAACTGTGTAGTCACCGTCTGAGCTTTTAGCCAGTGGCTCTTTATACATAATATTTTGGCTTTAATATTTCACAAGGTACCCCCACAAACATTCATGTATGCCTATATCCTGCAAAACATAGTTGACAAATAATTTTGTGTAATATGATTATTAACATTCAATATTATAATAGAAGCAAAAAAATAATAATACTTTGTTTTTCCCAGCTGCTTCTCTACCTTCTTCTCTGGCCCATAGTAAGTAAAAGTTACACGCCTAGAGGTGCACAAAGAGCTCCTCAGTGGAATATTTTGGCCTGGCATGAAAACAATGCATTCTGGGAAGATGACAGCTTTATCAAGATGTACCAGTGAGCTGACTTTTCAGCCTCGTCACGGTGACTCCACCTGGAAACAAGAATTTGGTTCACACAAAAGGACTCCAGGGCTGAGATTATATGATTATAGGTAGGCAGGCAAATTACCCCCAAAAGCAACAAATATGTATAAATGAAAAGGAGATTATAATACTGACACTTATTCATTCACTTATTCAAGTTTCACTTGAGAGTTCAATGAATATTTGGGTCAACAGTTTTTATGTGTTTTGTAGAATTTGATTTGATTGTTTGTTTACACTTTGTTGTTTAATTTGTGTGCTTGTTGTTTTAGATACAGAAGTGTTGAGTAAATTCCATCCATGGCATTTCAGTTTTCCCAAATTGAATAAAAAATAATTGTATCTTTGCCGTGCTCTGTGTTTTGTGACTGGTTGAAGCTTCATCAAGTTGTGTCTTTAAATATCAATACATTTGATCCAACTTAAATTCTCATTTCATGTAGAAAGAAAAAAATTGGGATAGCTATGCAGTCTGTTAAAATTACAGTTACAATATCTTTTCACAGACTTACTGAATGTTTCCAGTTCTTTACCTTGTTTGTTATAACATAATTTTCCACTTTTGCATTGCAAAAAAATAATAACATTTTTGCTTTAAGGCAGCTGATGTAACTTGAAATGTAAACTTACCATGGAAAGTATTATTATAAAGTAATCTACTGAAATTGAATCTTCTTTTTAATTCAGAAAAGCTGTATTTTTCTGGCACTTTTCAAAACAAATATGCATTTATAAACCTCTTTACATTGCCGTGTTACAAATTTCATCTGTTGCACTTTGACCATAAAAACTGATGGTAGTGTTTTTTGAATGTTTTGTTTTGTAATATATATTGTAGTTTTGAGTTCCATTTGTAACGGATCAATATGCTGTGTGTTTGTGTGTATGTGAGAAGAGAGAACTGCTCTGAGAATGCCGCAAATGCATTGCCCTCTGTGACCAATAAAGTTTTCAGAATCTGAATCTGAAACACACACCCTCTGAGAATTGGCAATAAATAAACTGTTATTGACTGATTATTTTAAATTTATTTTCCAGGAGGATCTCTAAAACAAGGGCACAACCATGAGCAGTGTGTCTGGTGACAGGAAGCCGCTTGTGGACTACGGCGTTCAGATCCGCTTCATCAAAGATCTCCACGATGCTGGCAGTGGTCTCCCAGACAAGACCAAAGCCCCTCCCACCTCTGCCCCTGCCAACAAGTATGGAGTCGCTGTCCGGGTTCAGGGCATCTCCGGGCAGCCTTACGTCGTTCTAAAAGATGGAGAGAAAGGAGATTCATATGGCGTACAACTTAACACCCCCTCTCCCAGTTCCGGACCACCTTCACCGTACAGCACACTTGCAAAAAACAAAGAATCTCCAGATTTTGTGAACCCTTATAGTCCAACTGCCAACTCCTCTCCCTCCCCTGTTTCTGCCGCTGAAGAGGAGATAGGTGAGATTTTTGGGAGTCCTCTTAGGAGACCCCCAGGAGATGGCCAAGCTGGGACACAGGGTGAAGATGAGGCAGTACCCACTAAGAAGCTAGAGGGGCACACAAAAGTTGAGATTAAAGCCACTGAGGCAAACAAAGACCAAACAAGTGAAGAAAAGTACAATGAAGCCGGACTAAAACCGGTCAGACCAAACGGACTTGGACCAAAGGGGGTCAAAAGCTCTAGTTACTCGCTAAATAAAAACGATTCTTCCTTGGACACATTTCCGGACCCTCCCAACTTTGAAGAGGAAGCCCCAGCTCCAGCTATTGACACTAAGTCTTTAGCCCCTATAAACAAACTGATTAGTAAATTTAATTCAACGTCAGGTAGTGCTCAGCAAACTAGGGGGCGCACTGGAGCAAGGCAAAGACTGAAATTTGATGAACGTCGACGATCAAGAAGTCTGGATGCAAGAAAAGAAATACAAACTGAAATTTCCTCACCTATTAGTACATCTCCCACTGTGAATCCTTATGGTCCACCGCTCTCCTCTTCGTCAAACTCTATACTGAATAATAATAATAGTCTTGGTAGAAAATCACCGACTGTTGCTAAGGTAAGTGCACTTGAGGCCCCAAAACTGAGCTATAAACCACAAGGGAAGTTTGTTACCAAGGACACGCCGCCAGCAATATCAAAAAAGCCTGTAAGTGTCTATTGGAGTTTAAATTTAGCTTTCAATATGTTTCTTTTGCTTAACTGTTGTCATCATTTCTGAAGGAGATTCTGCCAAAAAGCTTTAGCACAGATGGAGAGGAAACCCGGATCAAGCAGGCAATTCTCAACATACTGAAAGAAGGGTATGTCAAGACAAGACTCAAAACTGTCAATAATTGTTGTACTCTATTTGTCATTTATATTATCATTTATCTTATAGATCTAATGAGAATGAAATGGTGCTCAGAAGAAAAGCCAATAATGTCTATGAGACGACCAAAAGCATAAAGGTAGGAATGTTGTTACTACTATTATAGTAATTTGAAGCTTATGAAATAGGCGAGGTGTAATTACTGCTGTGCTGAGTCAAACATTGCTCAATTTACCTGAATGATAATTATTCAGTATCTACTTTATGCAAGAACATTTTTTATCAGTCCTTTTTTCAAATGTAGACATACTATATGAAGCTGATGTGTATTATATTAAATGGAAAAGGCTGTATCAGAGATGGAATGCTTAAAGGTGCACTCTGCAACTTTTCGGGTAGAAGGTCTGCTACCTAACCTGATTCATCAGCTGGTTTCAATTCATGGAAACCATCTGATCTCGCAACATTAGGATTCATTTGCTTGACGGTAGGCGGGTAGTTTTTTTATTTAACTAATCGCCGCTATTTGGTCGTGAGGTATGTAATACGTCAAATCACGTAGGAAGAAGGGCAATAACGTCTTTCCCCCTATTAAAATTCACCAAACATTCTCTTTGTTTCGGCTTTAAATCCCAGATCTCGGGAATTGTTGCCAGCACAGAATGTCTGACTTCGTCTACATTCATCTCGACCACTTTGTTTACTGTTGCGCTGTACCACAAAAGGGACACAGACAGGAGCTTGAGTTTGACATCATGGCTTCACAGCTCTTCGCTGATTGGCCGGCGTGCAGTCCACAACTTCCGGGGTTCTTGCAAACCGTCTAGTGTATTCCGAGTCCTTACCTAGTCACTGGAGAGAAATTAAATTGAGCAGAGGCACTAGCTGCGCCAGCCTGGCTATCTGCTACCTACTTGTCTCCATGGAGATGTTATCTCTTTGCTTGGAATGTTCCATGATATGACTTTAAACATATACATAGCATTCATTATTCATTACAGATGCCTCTAATGCTCAAAAATACCATACTTCCTTCTGTGAATAAGGGCGACTCTCCACAGATCTGACTTGTAATATAGCGTAGTGTTGTAACCTGCTTGTTTTCCTTGTGATAGATAGGTTTAATGTATACTGTGGAGCATTGTTTCCCAAAGACTGGGTTGCATGTTTTGTATAACTTCTAATCTTTTTGTAATTATTTTATTGGCTATTTTGTTCCAGTGTTGCTGGTTCAATTGAATGCTGAAAAGAAAAAGAAATAGGCTACATTTAATGTCCAAATAGGCAACTTATGGAAGCCTTTTAATGCTGGTTCAATTATTGTTTTTCATTGTTTAAAACTTGAGTAATACTAATTGTATAGAGAGACACGATCACTCAGTCAACAATAAAATATACTCATTAATGTTCAATATTGGTCAAAGCCACCTTTATTTTGTGATTTACGAATAATGTCTTCTCTAACTTTTCCTAACTTCTCTATAGAGACACGAGACAAACAGGTGGGGGATCTTCCACTATGTATGTTACACAGTGCACCTTTAATCAAACATATGCCAATTTAATGATAACTTTTCAAGTGACTACGTGATGGGGGAGGCAAATGGTTCAGATTTCCTCCCAAGACACATTAGTAATTTGTTGCGTGTGTTAGAAAATAGATACTGCTGTGAATGTATTAAAGAGTCAATAACAAAATTAATATTTGACTGAATTAAGTACTAGTAAATATCTGGGGAGAGGGAAACTGTGTACTCAAGATTTACATTGTGGCTCATATAAAGCACTAGGAACCATTTTATATATCTATCTTAGTTACAGTATTAAAATATTCAGTTTAGCTGTTAAACCCTTCCACCTACGACATGATGGAGAGAAAGCCAAATGAAACTAAATTAAGGTTTATAAATAGCTGAGTGCCCCATAGGTAATTAGTTTGTGCAGAGTGCGTGTTTTAATGTTGGCTATACAAAAGGGTTAAGGGTCACTTTGACTCTTCTAGTTGCTGTAATGAAGCTGACAGATGGTGGGTGGCCTCGTTATTGAGATATGAAGTTTCAATTTCACGCACTTTGTCTCTGTGGTGTCATGTTTCTCGTCAAGGTCTAAAATAATTAAAAGCCATGCTGTCTTTGTGATGCCATTGATACCGTATTAAAACCTTGCATTAAAATTTTTTTTTTTAGATTTTAGACTTTAGACTTAATGGTAATAATACCTTCTAAATAAGTAGCAAAAATAGTAAGAGACTGGAGTCAAATAAGGCATAATTATATAAATGTATATGTACAAATTAAAATAAAGTGTAGAAATATAGTAATAAAAATATATTTCAGCTATATACAAGAGGTCGTAAAGAAAAACAGTGCAAAGATGATATAATAATTGGCAGGACATAGGGTTATCATTACATAAGGGTGAGTTGTTGTACAGTTGTATGGAGTGTGATATGAATGTAGTCCTGTATGTATTTATTTTGCACTCATATACATAGCAATAAAAAGAGCACACTAGATAACAAAGTTCGTGCAGGAAGAGACAAAAAACCCACAAAGGTCTTATATTAAAGTCTTCACCTTAAGGTTACACAACACTGAACTGTATAGCTGTGTATTGCTTTAAAAAAAAATACATACCTTAAAAAATGAAATTCAACATAGGATTTTAACAGGGGACTGACTACACTTCCTCAACATTTGCATAGTTTTGCATACATCTCCATGCCAAAGGTGCCCTGCCTCATATCTCTTCTTGACTATGCATGAACCCTCATTATCTAGTGCTTTTGTGGTTGCATAGTAGCGGAGTTGCAGTCATTTGCCCGCCTCGTATCATGGCAACGTGGCACCCACAGAGGGGAGATCCGCATTGGGCCGTCCCGTAAGGATGAGGGCGCAGTCACTGAGAGCTATCAATAATTGAGTTGGACTGGAAACCTGTAGCCAGCTGGTGGTAAAGGCTTAGGCAGGGACATATCCCTCTTATATGGATCCTTATACTCAAAGCTGCATTAGAAATGGTTCAACTTGGTAGATTTGAAGTGGTTTCCTAATAGCCATATCAAGCTCTTAAAGGTGCTACATAATGCAAAATTGACTCTTGTGAGCTGTAAGCCATGTTAGAATCAAAAACAGACCCGGAGCTTTGTTTCATTCACACATATTTGAATAATCCTTTATTAGTCTGTCTACATCTCCAAAGCTCTAATTGCACCATTCCACCTTGTGATGTCATGTTAATTGCTACCTTTTACCTTTTGTTAAAGGGACAGTGCGGAATTTTTGGACACAGGGCCTCATTTCCTAGTTTGCCAGAGTGTTGGAGATGTGTGGAGACACTTTTTTAAATATTCCATCCAGTCCTTGTATTTGCAGAGGTCACTGGTGCTAGGCTAGTGCATGTCAATGGCCATAGTTAGCCTGCAACTAAAAACAGTCTTACCCACTCCACAAAACACCCGAAGCAAGTCTATTATTACACCAGACTTTCGATATAAATGTCTGTGTTAATAGAATAATGTTTGAAATAAAAGTAACCTTGCATCGCATGACTCGTCGCATGTTGAGGGACTATTTTCTCAGCAGCAGCAGTATTTTACTTTGCCAGTAAAATAGGTGCTATGTGATATCAGTGCACTGCTGCCAAGCTTTCTATCAAGAAGTACAACTCACTGCTGCTGCTCAGACTTAAATTCTTCAAATTCAAGGCTTGTTTTTACTTCTAAAATGATTCTATCAAGACAGACATTCACATCGACAGTCTGGCGTAATAATGGATTTGCTTTGGGTGTTTTGTGGAGTGGGTAAGACTGTTTTTAGTGGCAGGATAACTATGGCCATTGACATGCATTAGCCTAGCACCAGCGACCTCTGTAAATACAAGGACTGGATGGGATATTTAAAAAGTGTCTCCACATGTCTCCAACACTCTGGCTCACTAGGAAATGAGGCCCTATGTCCAAAATTCCAAACTGTCCCTTTAAGGATAGATTGGCAATTCCAGGGCTGAAATTATCCAAATGTTTCTAGTGAAGGTGTTTGGAGCTTAAAAACATAAAGGAGCACTTCCTGCATTAACACATGACCTGACAAGATGGAACAGAGTGTTTTCCGTTTAAGAGAAGAACTCAGCCGAAATATGCAGGGTTTGTGAGTGAAACAAAACACAACTCCCAACTCCAAGTGTTTGTGATGAGGAAACAACATTATAATATAGATCAGAAAATAGCATAATCTGGGCCCTTTAAGAAACAACAGGCACATCTTGAGACCCAGACAAAATACATGATGTTGTGAGATGATCCCCCTAAGGCTGTTTACACACTGGTCCCCCCTTAGAGATTTGTTCTTGTCCCGAAACATAAGATCAGCACTGTCTGACGATTTCAAATATGTTGTTTCAGAATATTTTTGCAGTCTCTTTTCAAATTGCAATGGTCCCTCCCTATATCATCCTCTCAGATCTTGCAGACTTGGCAAATAGTGTACTGGGCTGAAATCCTTTTTGCCACACTCTAGTTAGATGTTATGCTATCTCAAAGCCTTTGTACTTATTTCGCATGTTATTTCATTTGCATTTGTCAGATTTTAATGTAATATTTTGTGTTTTTCATGGACTTGGTAATATTCTAACAATGCAAATAACATTTATTGAAGTTTTGTTTGTTTGCTTCATACTTTTACTTTACTTACACAGTTTTGTATATGATTGTCCTATATCCATTTTGCATGTAAATTCTATTCAAAGTATTTCTATTTTTGCTTGGATTTAAAGGTATACTATGTAACTTTTATGTTGGAGGTCCATCATGTTCTTGTTTCTATGGATACGTCATTGCTCTGCCTTGAATATTCCACAGTATGACATGTTTAATGTCATACTCTACCTTATATTTATTAAATTACAGGTAGTTTTATAGCTAAAAAATACCTAGAAAAACAGGCATTCTGACTGTGAGTGCGGTCGCCTCTCCACAGATCTGACCTGTGACTTGATCTTGTTTGGTTTTCATGAAAATTGAAAGGTTTAAGACCATACTGCGAAACATTCCAGACAAAGCAATAATATCTCCATGGAGAAGAGCATCTGACGGACCCTCCATCAGAAAAGTTACACACTACACCTTCAAGTCTCTTCTTAATAGTTATTTTTCTTTATTTTAGATTTATGTATTTATTTTGGGCAAGTAAGAAATTTACATTCTTTTACAATGGAACATATAACATTAATGAAATCATATCAGAAATAACAACAACAACAAAATAAATAGAAAACTTATTTCATTTTGATTGCACATTTCTATATCTATAAATTTTCTATTCTTCTGTTCTTGAACTTTGTGTTGCAACAGCAGAATATCCCCATAGTTGGACAAATGAAAGTCCTCTTATCTGTTATATTTGAAGCACTATTGTAAACTCCACTGACTTCTGCGCCTGTGTTGTGTCTTGGTAAATGCCTGTTGTCGTATTTGCTGCAGTCGTGGTGTAATGTGTGTTAGTGGGAGGATAATGAAGTTAATGCTCCGACACTGTTTGTTCCCTTTGGTTAATTGAGGAGACAAGAGGTGCCCAGTAACTTGACTCTGGCCTCTCTGCGTGTGCTGTGGAAATGAGACCCTTCTGTGTGTCCCTGAAGCAGAAGTCTACCAGAAATACAAAAAAAGAAAAAAGGAAAGAATACAACAACACAAGATAGGCTTTGATATAGCTTCTCAGTGCATTTTTACAGGTTTACAGGTGCATTGTGTAACTTTTCTGGTGGAGTGCTTCAGCGCTTGTCTCCAAAGATGTTGATGTTGTTGCTTCGTCTGGAATGTCTCACAGTATGGCATTAAACCTTTTTATGTGCATGGAGACTAAAGCAGACCATGTTAGAGGTCAGATCTGTGGAGAGGTGACCCCCACTCACAGTCAGAATGTCTGCTTTTCTTGGTATTTTTGAGCTATAAAACCTGCTGTAATTTAATAAATGTAAGATAGATCTGTTTAAAGTGGTGCTGTGGAACATTCCATGCAGAGCAATGTATCAGAAACAAGCAGGTGACAGACCCTCCACCAAAAAGTTACATAGTACACCTTAATGAAAGTATCTTTTCTTAAAAATGCAATATAATCTGGCAAAACTGTTGATGACAGAAAATAATGTTCTAAGTTAAAATACCCAAAAAATGAAAAGGGCTAATTGGGCCAATTCTAGTCTATGTGGTTTTGTACTTGTTCTGATACAGCTCAAGATCATTCTATTGAGGGAAGGTTCATTTCTGTCTCTGAATGTGATTTTTTTTGTACCAATACTTGGTCAAATAGTGTATCTAGAGTTAATACTCCTTTTCTCTGATTTTTTATACTGTTTTTTTCTACACCTCTCACAACCCCTTCTCAAACATGTTAGCTCAGAACTGCACAGCAAATTCAAGAGTGATAATTCAACTCGTATATTTTTAATTTTAACACTTTTACCATGTCATATGAGGTCCACAGTAAAATTAGTTAAAACTACACTTTCCAAAGTGTAGAAAGCTCAACACTGGTAAAGTGATGTAACCACACTACTCATAGCTGAATTTGACACTGATTAAGATTTTATATTTTTTTACACTAGTGTAAAGTGAAAAACTAATAACTCTATATTACTATGTTTTAACACTTTATGAAGTAGAAATGATGCAGAGTGTTCTTCATGTTACACTATTCAATAGTAACACATTTTCTTGACTAAATACAGTGTAAATGCTGTGGTCATTCTAGTTCATAATCCCTTTTACAAATGTAAAATAATGAAAACCACCACAAAATTCCATTTCAACTTAACTTGTATTAAAACAATGCACATCATACAATCAACACAATTTAAATAAGTCATATGACACAATACTATTTTTGCAAAATCCAACTGACAGGAATTCTTTGTGCCCTCAACAGTTGGTCCCAATGATTGTCATTTATTTTTTTAAAGTTGATTTTTCAATGCAAGCAGTCGATGGACGAATCAAGATCTTGTTGGATGCATGGAATTCAGGCATGTTCATCTCCAAAAATGAGAGGAGCATGTCTGACTGTTTGAAACAAGATCTTCTCTCCATTATATAAACATAACAATGTTCACAATAGAGGCAGTCCTGCTAATTATGAAACATTAACAGTGCAGAAACTTTTTACCTCAAGAGTCAGTCTTTCACTCTTGAGGTTTCTTTTGACACATCTAAAGTCCACATTGTAGACAATTCTTTGAATACAGGTGTAAAGTTTGTGAGAGTGAGGACCATGTGCCTTGAAGTGTTCACCAAATTCAGTTAACAATGACATAAAAAACCTTTGTCATTCCCACTTCAGTCACAGGTAGAAAGGCTGTCCAGGCTCAACCAGCAAGAAATGTGTTCATACAAATCTGTAAAATAAAATATAGAGTAGAATGAATATAACATATTCAAGTAACCACCTTGCAAAACAGGCTATGCAATATTTAATGAGCCATGAATAAAAATTAAAAAGTAAATATATAGTAAATATATTATGGTGCACATATCATTAATTTGTTCCTATTAAACAGGTTATTCTGTTGCATGAGCTGTATGTTTTTGTATATAGGAACCATTCAAATAAATAACTTGAAGGGTATTTTGAAAAAATTTAGCCCCTTAGAAAAGATTATTTTTTAATGCAAGACCCACATGAAACAAAACACCTAAATGCCATTAATCACGAAAATAGAATGAGCTAAAGGCAAAAATTACAACTACTTAGCACATATATAAAATGCAATTAGTCAATTACGAAATTATTGATGAAATTACATTTCAGTTCTACATTTAACCATTTCATGACATACCTGCAAATCTCTGATGAGTTGGTTAATGGCTTGAGCCTTCATCTTTCCACTGTAGCCTTTAGGAGCTGGGGATGCATGTGAACCAGCAGCAAGACACTCACCCTAAAGAAAATACAATAAAAGAAAGTATTATTACTCTTTTTGACTAAAGGTCAATAGCATGTTAAGACATTATATTGGGTAAGACATCATACTTGAAGATATTTTATTTTTACAGAATACTAGTAACCTTTTGATTCAGATAATTTTAATAATTCTCCACTTGGTACACTATCCTACCTCAACACACCACACAAAAGTGTGCACGTTTATAAGTTATTATTAAAAGAAATGTGAATACAGTGAATGAATGCAGCCCCAAAGTGTGAAAAACACGGTTATTTTAATAGATCCATGCTTCCCCCTCGGACTGACGTTAACACTGCGAATCAACAACTACTCATTTTATGTCAACACTGTGACTCAACAACTACTTATTTTACTCTACAGCACTGTCATAGTTGAAATAACTCTCTACTATGTTGAAACATATCTGGATTTTCTTTACTTTACTTACAACAACATCTACACCGTGAATTTAACACTTTTGAATTTGCTGTGTGGAAAAACAAATGTGCACTATCTTTGCATTGTGTCTGTATGTACAAAAGATTTATTTTTTTTTCCCAAAACAAACAAAACTCTTTATAGAAATTGACTGTTTAACTCCACATGTGTATGTATGGGGGTAGAGCAAAAACTTACACAGACATGGGGGTTGTAGTCATTGTTTGAGATAAATTAATGCTGAATTCAAGTGTAAGTGCGATGGTTTTTTTGGGTTTTTTTTTTTTGTCTTCTCCACTCTGGCTTTGCAGTAAGGATCATGTAGGAGGCTGCTTATAATAAAACTCTATAATATTCTGTGTAAAACTTAAAGCCCTTGTGCTATACTGATGAAGTGGGCGACTGGAGGAGCGGCTCCCCTTCAGCCTGTCACATGTTGTTTAAGAGATTTTGTGTAGCTTTTTCTGATGGTTGGCTGATGCTACAGAGTCAGTTTTCTCAGATATTTCTGACTGAAACAAAAACTAGGCCAAAGACACCGCTGGCGTGTGTACAGAGCGTATAATGCAAACTGGGGTTGACACTGTGTAGCAAAGTTTGAAATTCTGTCTCTCTTCGGTTTCTGTTTCTGAACAGACGGGAGCGAATGAAGGAAGTCTGAAAAAGAACTCACTTGAAGATATCCAAGAGCAGCTCATTCGATACAAGAGAGATCTGCAGTTAGCCCATGATGAGTAAGTATTCTGTGTAAAAAGTAAAAACAAACACCCATTCTGGGTTTCTAATTGTTCAAGGTTAAATGAGGATTTACAATAAATAAAAAGGGGTCAAACGTGACAACATTTTACCTCACTCAAATCTCAATCTGATCTATTGCTCATTCAATTTAACTTGTTTCAACATGAACAAATATGATGTTTTAATATAAATATTCAGACTTACTGATCTGTTTTTTCTCTAGATGATTTCTTTTTGATTGCATGGGTGATTTTGCATTGTATGTTGAAGAAACATAAATAAACTCAATTAAACTTGTAGACACTGGACTTACACAATGGAGCCAGCTCTCCAACATATGAAACACGGTCTTGAAAATGTGATACCTTTAATATTTTAGCGGTGTCTTTGTGTCATTTTTACCAACGCTTGATTGACACTGTTCTCATAAGCACCACATTATCATTATAATGCATTGGTAATGTGTGCCCTTGGTTTCCTAATGGACTGAAAAATGCATCGGTAGTCAGCACCCACAAGAAATGCACCAGCAAAATACATGCCATTTCTGTTGTAGCTTTTTCCAATGTCAAAAAGTTTAAATTTTGTAAAACTCCCTCCAAAAGCTCTTATAGTGTTGATTGTTTGCCTCTGATTTATCATTGGATCAGTTAAGTGGTCAGATCCACTAATTCACAGTTTGGCAGTGCTATTCCAGCTCCCACAGATGAATGCTTTCGTTGTGTCTTTGGGCAAGACAGTTAAACCACCTTTTCCCCCAGTATCTGTGTACACTGGTGTATGAATGTATGAGTGTGAATGGGTGGGTAGTTCTTTGATGTAAAGTGCTGTGAGTGTCTTGAAGGTGGAAAAGTGCTATATACAAATGTGAGTCTGAAAAATGTTCAGTCTGCTATGTTACATGTTTTCTATGAATGACAGGAGGACATGGTTTTATCAACAACTTGTATAATTTGTTTGCAAATATAGATATATTATACAGAAATAATGAAAGATTCTGCAGCTCTGCTTGTCAGCCTGTTGTGGTTTAAGGATCTTATCGAGCTTCACCCTTAACTTAAGTAAGAGTGATTTAACAAATGAACCACATCCTGTCAGACCTGTCCTTTGAAGGGCACATGTTTTATGCAATGATTTATTTGTTTAAATACTGTAGCTGCATGTTTATACAAATGCTTTTGTTTATTTTGCCAAACTATGTGCTTGTTTGAATTTGCCAGACTAATAGGCGTGGAAAAGCATTCATGGAGACTGCTACTGTCTGTGTGTCTGTGTTTCCATCTGGTTTGATACAACTTCTTGCAGTTTTTGGTATTCATTAATACTGCTAGTATATTTAAAGGTGCACTGCGCAACTTTTCTGGTAGGGTTCTGCCACTTGCTTGTGTCCATACAGATGCTATTGCTTTGCCTGGAATATTCCATGATATGACATTAAACATATCCATCTAACGTTTATTTATTACTGGTGTTTCTGTTGCTCAAAAATACATTAATTCCTTCTATGAATAGAAGGGATGATTCTCCACAGATCTCAGCTGTAATGTAGCATAGTGCTGTAACTTGGTTGTCTCCCTTGTGATAGGTAAGATTAATCTATACTCTGGAACATTCTAGACAAAGCAATACCCTCCACTAGAAATGTCACACAGTGCACTTTAAAGCTAAGATAACAATTTTACTTTAATAAGCTGAAACAAACAATGATAGATCAAAATCTATGTGTGATTTTTGTGAAGAGGTATCACATGTATTTTTTTGTGTGTGTTAAGAAGTTAAAAGATGCCAAAAATACAAGAGTTAATACTGATATAATACTCACACAGTCACTCAATAAATATGTTGCTTTAGATGCTTAAAAGATTAAAACTAAAATGTAGAACATGCCCATATTACAATTCAAAGCTACATCTGATAGGCAGTGCACTCATCAGTTCACTCATATCAGCCTTGGTTATTATGTTCAGATCAATCAGTATCCTAAGGTGCATTATGTAACTCTTTGGTTGAGGGTCCGTTACCTGCTTGATTCTATGGAAATGTCACTGCTTTGTCTGGAATATTCCACAGTATGACATTAAACAGCTCTACTTTATATTTATTAAATTACAGGTGGTTTTATAGCTCAAAAATAACTTGAAAAACATGCATTCTGACTGTGAGTGGGATTGCCTCTCCACAGACTAACCTGTAATTTGGTATGATTTGGTCTCCATGATGATAGAAAGGTTTAACTACACTGTGAAATTTTCCAGACAAAGCAGTAAAATTACGGAAAAATGTATTTGACAGACCCTCCACCAGAAAACTTGCAGAGTTCATCTTAAAGTCTTCTAAGATTAACTCTTTCATTTAGACTCACAGTGGAGCGAATGTCCCGTGAAGCAGCAGAGTCCCGCCTGCGTCTCCAGGAGGACCAGCTGGCCGGGCTTCAGGAGGAGCTCAGGAGGGTCTCTGAATTTGCCCCTCCATCAGACTCCATACAGACGGTAATTATCAGTCAATCATTCTTTATTTAGAGAGCCCTTTTCAATTTAATCAACACAATATAAAAACATGCAGAAATATTAAACAATGATATAAAACAAAGAAAGCTAGACATGGTTGAGAAAATAAAACCTGCATTTTAATATCTAGAATGTTGGTAGATCTGTTGTGGAAAAAAAATTTGTATCATAAATAAAGAAGGAACTCTAAAAATGAGTGAATCAGTTTTCTTGCTGACACTGTTGACAACAGGCTCCAGTATTGATTTTGTGACACAGCGTAATTTACAACATACAGTTGGACTGATCAGGTCCCAAGAACACACAAACATACAGTTGACTTCTGCTGTCACACACTGTACTTAAGCTAAATTTTCTGCATATAAATCAGAAAAACTTTTTTAATTGTTGTCACAGTTCAGAACAGAACTAAAATAAAAATTTTCTTCATACATTTTCTTCATACATTTTACATTTACATAATTTGAGAGATGTACTCCTCCCTTGAATTTACTCTCCCTCATGAGAAAGTCTTAGCCCATCTTTACATTTAAAATACTCAGGGAATCTCACCCTTTTGCCTTTTCTAGTCTAACCCTAGATAGGAGTTTCACTTAGTGATTGTTTGCTAAAGAGCAGGAACTGTTCACTAGTTAGTTAAAACTAGAGGGAAATTTCACCTGGTGACTGTTTGGTAGTTAGCTGTATTGACTTACGTCTACTTTGGAGAATAAATTCAGGTAGTCCCAATGCTAGATAATATAAAGCAAAGTAAAGCAAAGTGTAACAAAACTAAACCCATGTTCACCTTTAAACAATGTTTGTAGTTATCATGTTAAAATGCAAGGACAAGTAAATCAGAAAGAAAAAAAGTCAGATTGAGATAAATAAAATAATAATTAATACAAATTTTATTATGATTTATTTAACCACAGGATCTAGCGTCTCTTCAGGCAGAGCTAGCTGAAGCCACAATGCTACGTCAACGACAAGAGGAGACGCTCCGACAGAGAGAGCGTGAGCTGACTGCCCTGAAGGGGGCACTAAAGGAGGAGGTTGAGTGTCATGATCGCGAGATGGAGACTCTGAGGGAACAGTACAGTGTGGACATGGAGAACCTGAGGAGGACCATGGAGCAGGTCACACAGGTGGGACTAGATCCAGCAAAACATGAGCATTACAATTAAACCCATTATCACAATTAAAGATGCGGTATGTAACTTTTTGTTGGGGGCCTGTCCCTTCCGTGTTTCTCAGGTATGTCATTGCTTTGCCTGGAATGTTCCACAGTATGACTTTAAACAGCTTTACCTTACATTTATTCAATTACAGGTGGTTTTATTGCTTAAAAATACCTAGAATAACAGATTCTGACTCTGAATGGGGTTGCCTCTCCACAGATCTGGCCTGTAACTTGGTCTGGTTTGATCTCTGAAGAGAGAAAGGTTTAATGCCAGACTGTGAAATATTCGAGACAAAGCAATAGCATCTCCATGGAAACAAGCATTTGATAAACCATACACAATGCAACTTTTATATATGAAATTAAATATAAACTACTGGTATTATTATATTCATTATTATGTTAATGTGTAATGATGATCTTATTAAAACAATCAGTGCTTTGGTTTACAACAAAAAAACTAATCTGATTTAAGACATAAGCAGCTTTTAACAAAATCTGCATTTAACCGAAGAATTACCTTTAGAGGGCCAGTCATTATTTTTTAATTACTTCATTATTTTTAAAGAATTATATATATTTTTTTAAAACTTAATTGAAAAAATATATTATATTTTAGGATGCTCTGCTTAGATACTGTATTTAAATGTAAACTATTGTCTTTTTTCCCACTGTGGTTTAGTGATTAATTATTTTTAATCCAATAACTGATGGAAATGCAGTCTTTCCCCTATGGCCCAATTCATACATTATACATTGTACAAACTGGGGCAAACTGGATATTGTGTATTTCCTGATCACAACACTTCTAATCCTAATTCACTGGTGATCTCCTCAGAGGATTTAACTGGAGCATTTGGGCTTCACCTGACAGCTTGTAGTGTGCAGTGAATATTTTATTACGATAACACATGTCCTTTGAAGTTGCGTACGCCAATTTCTCATCCTGGCTTTGTCTCCTCATTCCTGTTTCAGTGTGCCAGCATATTAAGTGGCAAGTTTGACTCCAGGTTTCACGAGGTCACATAAACATGAAAATATAAAAGAAATATTCAAATGTGGTTTTGGCAGCAGGCTATTTTGGGAGAGGCATGACTTTTGGACAAGTTTTGAATGGACATGTGCTAATCTTGTTATAATTCGTCTAAAGGAGGTTTAAACCAGGATTTAAGATCTGAGCTGGAATTTAACCGGAACACACACCCTAAAGAGAGATTTTAATCCAGAACTATACCAGGTTTCAACATAGTCAAAACTAAACCTGCTCTCAATTAGTAATACACAATGCTATAACCAAACTAGAACAGTGCACATTGTGTTCCCACTTGTACACACACACACAGACCATAAAATTTAAATTAAAACTGGGACTAAACTGGGACCAAACCTGTAAATAAATGATAAATGAGCTCATATTTAGATATATTTTTTGATATTTTTCCACACTTTTTCACCTTCAAGTGCTTTAAATCAAGGAATCACTCACCCATTCACACACCAGTGTACATAGACACTGGGGGCAAGGTGGGTTAAATGTCTTGCCGAAGGATATAACGGCAACATTTATTTGTGGGATTTGAACCGCCAATCAAACAAACGCTCTACCAGCTGAGCTATCGCCTCTAAATAAACCTGTAACTAAACCTGGGCTGGACCAGGACTAAACCAGGACTAGAAGTGGACCAGTCCAAGTCAACATCTGGGCAAAGTGGGTTGAATCAGGACAAATGTGAACACACCATAACCCAGATCTAAACTGTAACTAAACAAGTACTAAACTGAGATATCCAAAGCCAGCCTTAACCCGGACTAAACACAGGTATAGACTAGGCAAAACCAAGTCAAATTGTCTCCGCTCCTGGCAGGTTATTTCAGTGGATGGATGTGGATGTGTGGATCATTATGAGGATTCAGGAAAAGTAACAGCACTGTCAGGGAAAAGTGTAGCCCAGAGAGCAGGAAGTGACAGACTGACAGAGTCTTTGATGAGTGGATTTAACTGACTCATGCTCTGTCTTCATGGATGTGTTTTCGTTTCCAGTGGTAATTTGAAAGTTAAAATGTTGACGTGTTCCTTCCTTTTCCTTATGTAATAATAGACTAAACACTATTGATGTCAGTGTATGTTACATTGGCCTCAATTAGTCATTTAAAAATTGAATGAGATTTAAAGTATAATAGTCTATAAGAGAAAAAAACACCTACTATTCACACAATTTTAATAGCTATAAACTCCAAATGCAGAATACAAGAACATCTTATTGATAAGTGGGATGGGAACATGCAAAACAATCACATGTTAATTAAAGGTGCATTAAGTAACTTCTCCGATCTAGGGTGTGTCATCTGAATTTTTTACATGGAGAAAATTTTCCACAGTAGTCTTGCGTTTATTTAATTACATGTGTTTTTATTGCTTAAAAACACGAGTACAGTCTCCTCCCCATAGTTCTGCTGTGTAACTTGGCTCGGTGGTGTCACTTTTTTGTCTTCATGGAGATAGATACGTTTAAGGTAATACTGTTGACCATTCTGGACGAAGCAACAACATTTCCATGGAGACAAAGAGGTAACAGACCGTCACCCAGAAAAGTTACGCAGTGCCCCTTTAAGACCAAGACTAATGACTTAAGATTTTCACATTTGGGTGTTCGAGTTAAATTAGTACACAAAAAGCATGTATAATGAATCAATAAATAATAATAAATTAACAAAGACATAACAACTAAAAAGAATACGGTGCATTGAAAACTGTTGACAAAATGTGAACCAAATTATTTATTGTTTTTATGTACAGATGTTTTCTCAAGGTCTCTAACTCAGTAGTCTTCCAATTGCACAAAATCAAAGAGGCATTACTAATTGACGAGCTGATGAGGTTAGCAATTAAATAAATGAACAGCGTGTCCTTGTACCTGTAAACAAGCCCTGATTGTTTGTGGCTGTTTTGGTTCAGTCCCAGGAGCAGATCGAGGAGGAGAGGGAGAGAGTGAACGCCTCTGTGCTCACGCTGGAGGACGAGCTGGAGAGGAGCAGAGTCGAAGGAGAAGAGTGGAAAAAACAACTGGACTCCACCAATCAGGAACTTACCAACATCAAAGACCAGTATGTGACAGATACACTCAGTACAATGAACAGTGTGATTTATACGGAACTGAAAATATTACTTTTCTTATCTTTATAAAATGAAGGGAATTGCAACACACTATACCAATTATCAGATGGGTAGTTTCCCTTAAAGGTGCACTGTGCAACTTTTCTGGTGGAGGCTCCGCTGCCTACTTTTCTCCATGGAGATGTTATTGCTTGGCCTATAATGTTCCATGAAAATACAGTAATCCTGTCTGTGAATAGGGGCCACAGATCTGAGTTGTAGTGTAGCGTATCACTTCTTGTTTCTGTGGAGATCTTAATGCTTTCCCAAAAATGTTTCACAGTATATCATTAAACTTGCAAATATTGTGTTTTTATGGTGAATTTAAAGCTAACAATACTTGCATTGTATGAGCAGACCCTCTTCTCCACAGGTCTGACCCGTAGGGATGTAACAATAACCGGAATATCGTGATATCGTATCGTCAAAGTTCTCACAATAGTATCATGGACCATCAATATATCGAATTACAAGTCTCTTTGCTTAAAGGTTGTATAGAGGATTTTTTTAAGGGAAGTGACATACAGTGACGGTCCTTTTTCAAATGTTGCGCATGAGTGACACCACCTTCCTCCTCCACCGCTCCTTCAGTAGAAACATCTCCTCCCGCCTCTTTACTCTAGAAATCACGCTTGTTTACATCCAGTGCGTGTTCAGAATTACTGTTGAAGTGACCTGTTTAGAAATAATTTATCGACCAGTGCATCAGTTTTTAGACCGTTCATCCGCTTCATTCGTCCAATCGCTGGAAGAAATCTCCAAGAATCACCTCAGTTTGTCTTGGCTCCTTTTCCCCTTCTCTTCTTCTTTCAGCGACCTCAAAAATTGACTTTCTTTTACAGCGAACCGGTCGTTGATTCTCGTCCGCCATCGCGACAAACTTTGTGCGAATTGCGAGGAAGCTACAGTTGGAAAAATTCTCTAAAAACTGCTGCATAAACCACGTAATCCCCGCGCACCGACGAGTCAGTTACACTAGAAACGTAGGGAGTTTGATTGACAACCTAACAGCCAATAGGAAATGAGGTAGCCTTGTTTTCTATTGGCTGATGTTTATCTGGCCTCACTACGTCCACAGTTGATAGATTTTCATTCTTTTTTTTTTGGTCATCATAATTACGAGGCTGCTGCGTCTCTGTACTGGTATTTTAAACTTTCATTGACAATTTGAAATAAAAAAAAAATCCTCCATACAACCTTTAAATTAAGAGTTATAGAGCAGCATTAGCTAAAAAACGACAGAGGGAACTACATAGACCATGATCCTTTGCTCCATTTCAATGTATACTATAATAGATAATAGAAATAACAGTTCTAAGCATTTCTAAGTCTTAGTTTTTTGGATTAAGTCTTGTCAAGGCATTTTAAGAGGAAAAAGTAACAGAGAGATTTGGATATTTGTTACATCCCTAATCGTGAGCCTTCCCACCATATCATGAGCTTTCCCACGATATCGTAATAAATTTCATAGTGTGAGGTTCATACCGTGACAGTATTGTATCGTGAGACTTGGATATCGTTACACCCCTACTGACCCGTAACTTGTCCTGGTTACATCACCTGCTTGACTCCACAGAGACAGATAAGTTTAATGTCATACTGTAGGAAAAGCAATAACATTCCAGGACGACGCCAGGCCAAATTCTAATCTAGTCTCCAACTTCAAAAACATTAATATCTTTGAATTGAGGCTATGAAAAATGTACAGCCTATGTTAAAATGTTGAAACTGCAGACTTCATGTGACTATCTGATCTTACAAAACGCCTTGGCACTTATGGAGCTTTAGTGTTTTATTACATCTTTTTACATCATCATTTTCTCATCATGATAGCTGGAGTCGCCTGCATTTCAAATCATTTTTTTTAGCTATGATAAGTTTCTCTTGAGTTATTTTTAATGCATGCGTCTTTCTTTTACTTGACTTTTCACTCATCAGGACGGAGAGGCACTGCAGCAGCCAAAAGTGAGAACTGAGAATGACTTTTGCATTGATTTGAGTAGATTGTAGTCTACATTCAAATCTGACAAGTCTGAACTTGAGATATGTGTGCTAAAAGATACACAGACTGAATCCAGACCAAATTGTACTAATATTTTGTGTCTATGAATCATCCAATCAACACTACACATATCTGGATTGATTTGACATTGATTTACAAAACAAAATGTGATATGTTGTGATGTGATACAACTTAAAGGCACTGTACCTGATTTTTTTTTTTCACTCTTAAAATGTGAAAAAACAGAACTACTTAACTTTAAAGATCCTATATTATGCAAAAATTATGGTTTCTTCCTCAGAAACATATCTGAAGTTGTGTTTTGTTTCATTCACACATGTTTGAGTAATCCTGAATTATTAGGCAGTTTGCATTTCCAAAGCTCAAAGTGCTCTGTTCCACCTTGTGATATCATGAAGCAGTAGTTTTCAAGTTTACTGCCAAGTTAAACATGTGAACTGAACAAAACTCAACTTCGGGTATGTTTGTGATGAGGAAACAACATTATAACATAGATATAATATGGGCTTTTTAAACAGTTTGCAGTGATCCAAAGGTATTCCTCACTTATCTTATGCATTCCAAACATCCTAATTATTCACTGCGATGAGTTTATAAGCGCTTGTCACAATTCTCAGAGACCAGAGCGGAGTTTTGCCCTCATGGTAAAGCAGCAATTGCATGCTAACACGAACTTCCGGATTATCAGACAATAAAACATTTAATTAGATGCAGACAACACGTAAGGAATTTATTTTGACCTGAGTTTTTTATGCAATATAAGGCGACAACATGGAAAATCAGGTACAGGCCTTTTAATAACTAACCAGGTACAACATTATAATAACCAGTGATGGGTAGGGGTGGATATATTGACCAAAATGCATATGGCTTTGTCTTTTTGTAGTTCAATAAGAATATTTTAGATTTATTTTAGCACTTCAATAGAAACATGTTACAGTTGTTTTCTTTTATATACAGGTTTAAGGTTTAAGTATAGATGTGAGAAGACTATATATTCCCCACAAAAAATCACTTGTTTGGAAGATTACAACCTACATTTGTTCCTTTTTTCATTTTTATTCAGCTGTTTTTTGTTGAGATCTTTCTTAGAACCTGTCACAATTTGGTTTTTAAATCACATTAATGAAGACCTACGCATAGTCTTTTTATATCATCTTTGTGAGGTTACTATAGCTACTTACTTTGGATCTGCTTAAAACAGAAAAGCAGTGAATCACAATGCACTTTTTTTTCATCCATATCATAATGTTGTGCCTGGTGTATGCCGTATGCTGTTTAAAGAACATTCAATAGATATGTCACAATCTTTTACTATACTAGTTTGATCTATTGTTCCCATTACTTTTGAATCTAATATTTATTTTACATTACAGATTGGCAAAAACATCTTCAGAAAAGGAGGAATTTGAAAAGGAAGTCAAGAGTCTCAAGGAGTCCATGAGGAAACAAGGCCCTGGATCAGATCTGAGTGGGTTGGCTGAGGTACTGTTCAGATGTTCAGATTTCTTGGCCCAAATATTTGACTTTTGTTTGACACCTTTTCTGTATACCATCAAACCATATAACAGGATAGTCCCAGAGAGAATGCTTATCTCCTTTTCAGGCATGTTCTGTCCTTCTTATGTTGTTCTTTTGTGTAAATGTTTTGGGGGTTGTAAAGGAAACCTAAAACTTTTTGGGTGGGGGAAAGGCTGCGCAAACATGAACACATCCTTTGTTTAGAAAATGACTCACAATCCTGTCATAATAAATACATCTGTTTGACTAAATATGAAATCAATTTACAACTTAATATACAAATTCTGGGTTTCAAATGACTTTACAACATTCTATAGGCAAATAATATTTAACACAGATGGGTAAAATGAACATTGTTAAAATTTGAAATAGTGAGTTCTAGGGTCTAGTCACTAAAATGATCAGGTTTAAAACAGTGAATATGTTAAGTGTATTTCATAAATTAGTTTCCTTCCATTAAATGAGTAACAAAACAGTGGGAAGGTCACAAAAATTGCTAAAAGAAACCAAAAAATACTATTTATTGATATATTGATACAGCAGCAATATATCAATATTTTTCCATACCCTTACACTTTAGTACTAACTTACTGCAGCCACTACACCACACTAAGTATACTTAAACATTCACATTCACAACTTAACTGTCTTGCCCAATAGACCTTTTTCACAGCGGCCGGAAATGCCGTGATATAAGGTAAATGTCACTTACATTGATGCTTTTCTATGTCAAAATATCTGTGGAAATGTTTCGTGCATTTTCCACCAGCTTCATAAATCTGCCTCATCATCAAATCTTCATCCAACATGATCGACAAAGGACATATTCTGTCCATGAAGAATTTATCCACGACTATCAAGACTAAGAAAGACAAAAACGTAAAGGCGAACAACGACTAGCATTAGTGAACTACTCCTGAGCAAAACTAACATTATGGTCATGAATAAAACTTAAGTAACTTGTTAACTCAGACTGATTCTACAATTAAAATAAAAAATCGATTTCACGATGTCAATATTAGCATAATAGCATAATCTGTGAACATCTGGAGCATTCTACAATATCTACATCATGAAATAATTTTTTTATTTCAATTCTAGAGTCAGTCTGAGTTAAGTTACTTATTAACAAATTACTTAATAATTATGTTTTATTCATGACTATAACGTTAGTTCACTAATACTACTCGTTGTTTGCCTTTACGTTTTCATCTTTCTTATCTTGATAGTTGTGGATAAATTCTTCACAGACAGAATATGTCTTTAGTCGACCTTGTTGGATGCAGATTTGGTGATGGGGCAGATTTATGAAGCTGGTGGAAAATACACAAGACATTTCCAGAGATATTTTAACGTAGAAAAGCATTAACGTAAGTGACATTTACCCTACATCGCAGCACTTCCGGCCGTTGTGAAAAATGTCTATGACACAAGAATAATTGTAGGCCTACTGGCTAGACGTGGATTTGAACCACACACATTCTGAGTATAAGATTACCACTTATACAACTAAACCACTGCTGCTTTACTGGGATTAATGAGGATTTTATTAATTGCATATTTAGTCATGCTTTTCTAGTACTTCATTGCTCGCAGCAACGTAATACAATAGTCTTTGAACACAGCAGCACGCTAGCTAGCTTACTGTGGCTAACAGTCACTTGAAATCATAAAACATAAAATAAACTGCCTATTAAAATACAAATGAATTAAAATAAAGGCTAGCCAACTATTTATAAATGTAGAATACTTTAATTTGTGACATATTTATTTATTAGGCCACAAAATTAACGTTAGCATTGAGACTCAAACATCTCTATTTCTAAAAGCAGAAGTATCCACCAGTGAAATATTTGTTTTATTTGTATAGTTTTTAACATGTTGTCAGCCACAATTTGCCCATAGCTATACAATTGGACAGGAAGTAGTGAGGCTAACAGTGTTGTTGTTTATTGTGTATTATCTTTATCACAACACAAACTAAACAGCAATTACAGCAATAGTAAACAGCAATAGTTGTAATACATGCATTTTGTCTCTCTCTTCTTTCTTTGCCCTCTTGTTTCATTTCATCCATTCCCTGCACCATAATAGACATCGTTCTGCCTCATATCATCTTATTCATATTCCAGCAGCACACACAGAAACATATCTCCACTTGATAGCCCTATTAGCCCACTGTTTGGCGCCCCCGCACTCTCCTCTTTTTATTCATGTCATCGTCTCTTGTCTCGTACTGATTACTGATTGTGCTTTAAGGAGCTGCGGCGTTGCCATGAGGACCTGAAGAGGGCTCGGGCCGATCTGGAGAAACAAAAGGGGGAAATGAGCGATAAAACTGAGGCACTTCTTACTCTGAGAAAAAGCAGCATGACGAAGGAGGCAGAACTGCATGAGGAGATCAGAAAGTTAAAGGAGCAATCGCAAAAAGACAGAGACGAACTGGAAAGAATCAAAGAGGTGAGAGAGGTTGGATAACGATTCAGTCTTATCTAATGGCATAAATTTAAATTGAGCCACAGGAGGTCACTGTGGAGTGTGTGTCAGTCCCAAACCTGGAAAAAAAAAGCCAAATGTTATGTCAGAAAGGGCAAACTCAAGTCAAAATACAGCAAAATTTTACAAACAAATGTAATTATGTCATAGTTTCTCCTTTTGTATAAATTTGTATAAATTCCACTTTGAATACAATTCTCTCTTCATTGGAAGCAAGTGGACATTCAATCTTTAAAGAATCCTTAGACTTACCTGGTTTATTATTGATCCACAAGTTAAAGTTAGCTTATTTGCCATTTGTAGGTAAAACCGCCACCACTGGAAAAAGAAAAACATGTGCAAGAGTCTCAAAGCGCATCATGAGACATTAAAAACAACTATTTGGACACAGTAGCTCATACATTACGATATATTAACAGACGTACAGTATTACAATTCAAAATAATGTTATTGCAAACATACACAGATTTTTTGTAGGTATGTACTAGTATATGCAAAAATCAAATAAAATACACTAAATACAACATCTATCTAGGCCAGTGTTTCCCAAACTTTTTTTCTTGGGGACCCATATTTTAAAAGTCACAACGCAACCCAAGTCAATAGACAAAATAAAAGTGGATTTGACCATTATTGAACATTAATGAGGATATTTTATTGTTGAGTGAGTGATCATGTCTCTCTGAACAATTAGTATTACTCAAGTTTTAAACAATGCAAAACAGTAATTGAACCAGCAATAAAAGGGATCCATAAGTTGCCTATTTGGACATTAAATGTGTCCCTGTATATCACAGACACATACATGTCTACATGCAGAACGTGACAAGGCAACCCAAAAAAAATCTCTTGTGACCCACCTGAGGGTCACAACCCAGTCTTTGGGAAACCCTGATCTAGGCTATGTACAAGAGAATTGTTTGAGTGAAGAATGACAAGGATCAAACCAAACTGGGGTGGGGTAAAAGACTGTTAGAGCCTTTGTGTAAATCCCTTAGAGACTTCAAGGTTACACTGCTAACCACCAGGTCCACCTTCAACATTTAGTCTGCCTAAAGTAAGCATAAACATTGGACTCAGTACAGTGAATTATATACTGTACACCCCCAAGTGATCAAGAGAAGGTTTGTTTTAATAATGTTTCTAATGTTTGGCAGTATGTTTACCCAATTGAATTGCAATAGTATCAATACAAATCTGGTGATAGGATATGACGTTTTAAAATTCATAAATGAATCAACCAAAATGACATCCTACTCAATTATAATATAAAGTAAATGTCTTTCTTTACAGTTATCTGCTGGAAGTGGAAAAACTGTGGTGGACTATGGCTCCAACTCTGAGCTGCAAGAAGCAAACAGCCGTCTCCGTGAGCGACTGGCCCGTATGGTACAGCAAACAAAAAGCACCAAAACAGATCAGTTATTCAAACACAAAAACACCCACCTTTTTCAAACACACAAGCAGTATAAGGGATCATGAATGTCCGCCTACGCACTCTCTGTTTTCTAAGGGCCATGCCAAATTAAAACCAAGCAATCACACCAACACAAAATAATCCCCATATATATATCCCCCCATTTGCATATTTTCTATAGGGATCGGAGCAACTGTGTGCTCTGCTGTAGCTGTTTTAATTTGTTTTTGCTTACTTCATTTAAGTCTTTACCATAGGCGCAAGGTTATGTTTTTAAGAAATACTGTGTCAAAATCCATAATACATTATTTGCAATAGGGTGGCTTCATTATGTTTATTAGAATCTGAAGATATATTTGAATTCATGCATAAAAGTGCTGTAAAATGTATACACTTAATGTATACACTGTAATAGCCAGTTTAAAAGTCCTCTATTACAGATAAATGACTCTTGAGAGCTTTAAGCCATGGTACAGTGTTGTTACCTTGTCAAAAACATACCTGGAGTTGTGTTTTGTTTCATTCACACAAGGTGTATGGAGTTTAAAAACACAGTGGAGCACTTCTTGTATTATCATGACATCACAAGGTGGAAGAGAGTGTTTTCCATTTAAGAGAAAAAATCAGCCTAAATATACAGGGTTTGTGAGTTAACCATGTGTAAATGAAACAAAACACAACTCCAGGTATGTTTGTGATGAGGAAACAACATTATTACATAGATCAGAAAATAGCGTAATATGATTTGTTTAATTTGTTTAATGATTTGTGTTCCTTCTCCAGACCAGGCTGCACGCTACCCCCAGAGGCGCAGAGACGGAGGAGGCTGTGGAGGCTTTAGAGGACGAGAACAGAGCCCTGAAGTCACAGCTGGAGGAGGCAAAGAGGGCCACAACACGTCTCACCAAAGAACGAGATGAGCTGAACAGACGCCTGGAGGAGAGAGACTTGGAGAGGGACGCCCTGAGGAGGGGTAAAAGTGACCTCGAGGAGCAGAAGAGGCTCCTCGACCGGGCTCTGGACAAGATCAACAAAGAGGTGAGTTCTACGGAGGCTGATATAACATGAAATGAAATTTCAACATACATGGAGGTAACAGTGGAAGGGATGTTTCTGCTCAAAATCAAATGAATAAATGCTCCTGACAGGTTGCACCAACAGCATTGATGGATGGGTCATATTGTACTTATGGGTCCAGTAAAGTGTACCTTAATCTTAATATTTTAACAAGATGACAAATATTTATATACTGTCATTTAGTTATTTTATTTTTTTACTTACATGTGCAATATACAGCTTTACTATAGTGAAGGACACTCTATCTGCAAGTCTCCATGGAAATATTATTGCTTTGCCTGGAATGTTCCACAGTATGGCCGTAAAACTTGTCTGTCTCCACGGAGACGAGCAGGAGACACCACCAGACCATTTTACAGTTTGTGTGCTTGAGTTTTAATGACCCTTTCTGTGTGTGCTGCTGTTTCTTTGTCAGATGGAGATGATGATGGGAGACTCTCGTCAGTCTGTGGCGGCTCTTCAGTCTCAGCTGGAGGAGTACAGGGAGCGATCCCGTAAAGATCTGCAGGAGGCCCAGAGGAACTGCAAAGACCGACTGTCCGAGCTACAGAGGGCCCAGGGAAACCTCAAGGCCCAGCAGGAGGAGGTGAGCACAACACAAGGATAATGACTATCTCTGAGTGTAACATGGAAACTGTGGTGGAAGGTAACAAAGTACAAAAGTAAAAGGACGATACATCAGTACGAATTTTGCATATCTGTACTTGAGTCAATTTTACAGTGGATATTTTTTACTTTTACTTCACTACATTTGAGAGCAGGTATCTGTACTTTCTACTCCACTACATTTTAGACCTGGGCTGAAAAGTAAAAAGTACTTTTCTTTACAATGTGAGACCTGCTGAAATGGCGGATATTTGGTTTTTAGCACATTTAATTTGAGATGACGTCCCAACTTTGAGCTAAAGCAGCTAGAAAAATTAAGAAATCAGTGGGAGCACTTAAAATTTGCTAAATTCTTTTTTAGAATCACCACATTTCATTATTTTATTGTTCTAAAAATCTCAGCAAAATACTTTTACTTTCTACTCTTAAAGTACCTTTAAAATGTACTTTGACTTGAAAAATGTAGATTTTTACTTTATTTTTACCTGGCTTCCTCTTTACTTTTTGTGTCTGTACTTTTACTTAAGTAACAAAATTGAGTACTTCATCCACCACTGCATGGAAATGTGATGTCAAGAAGTGTTTTGAATCAATAATGTTGATTGATGTTGATGTCTTGTCATAATAACTATATTCATTTTATGAATGTTGGAACAATATATTTTGGGGGTCAGTATTTATTTTTGCATAAATTATTTTTATTTTGTATTTTTTGACAATATGATATGATAAGATTTAAGCTGTAAAAGACTGAATTATTAACTTCTAAGACTCGTTACTGATGCAAACAAAAAAAAGTACTAAAGTCTTTTTTTCTGCTGTTTATTTATTGCAGCTCATGTTTTTGTATCAATATTGTAGATTTAGAGTATTTTTTTGTGGTTTAAATCTGCTCTTGGGTTTTTTGTGTCAGTGCCATAGATTAGTTTCAATACTATCACTTCTTCAAAAACACATATACACAGAGAAAAACTGGCTCTGTTGACTGAATGAAAATATCTTCTTTGTTGTAGTAGCCAGTTTACCCTTATTCTATGGAAGCAGACAGGAGCAATGACAGAGCAGTTTGCTGTTGTTTTTTTTGGGTGGGTATTTATGACATTCCGGAGACTGAAATTTGTACAGTCACTTGACGTGTGTGTGTATTGAAGTCATCAACACATGAAAAGACAATATGTGTGTGTATGTGTGTGTGTGTGTGCGCGCGTGTGTGTTAGGTCTTAATCTATATAATCCGATTCATTTGTGTTTTCAAGTATCCACATTATGAAAAAGTGCTAAATCATGAAATCGAGGATTATTATGAAACAAGTTTACTCCTTGCAAAGCAGGGTTATTGTGCAATTACAATTAGATGACTAGGCAGGTTAAAATTGTTAAATAATAGCATATGATAAGAATGTAAACATAAAGCTCTAACAGTTCCTGCTCTGACTTCAGTTAAAATCGAATACAATCATAATTGTCGAGCATGTGCAAAAAGATTTTGATTTTATTTTTTGGCTGTATGACCCAGCCCTTGCATGTGTTTGGTTCGGTTTCATGTGTGTGCAAAGTCAAGACTGTTTAAGGCTTCCAAACGGTGAGTCAAAACTTTACTTTTAGAGCTTTACCTTTGAAACCATTTCTGTCACACCTTGTTTTACGTAGTGACTTTATCTGCTCCTTCAAACTGGTATTGTACTGTACCCACATTATTATAGTCAAACATCTAAATCTGTCATTGCCAATAATTATGCCAATAATAATTTTTGACTTGATTTGACTTGATTTTCAGGTTTCTCGTCTGAAGAAGGACTTGTTGACATGCAGCGAGGAGAGAGACAGTGCTCAGCTCGAGAGGGACCTCCTCAGTAACCGTCTCAAACATTTAGAGAGCGAACTGGAGACTGAGAAGACCAGCCAAACTGACCGATCCAGAGAAATACGTGGGCTGGAGGTGAGGGAAAAGGACACAAACTACTTATTTTAATGTTGATAATTAAAGGGCTCATATCAAACAATCTGCTGTATGGTATAATGTTGTTTCTTCATCAAAAACATATCTGGAGTTGCGTTTTGTTTCATTCACACATGTTTAACACACAAACCCTGCAAGTGAAACAATATGATGCAATGAATAGTACACTTAAAGTGCACTCAACTTTTCTGGTGAAGGGTCCGCAACCTGTTATCTCCATAAAAATGCTATTGCTTTATATAGAATGTAGATTAAACCTTTCAATCATGAGGGAGACAAACCGGTTACAACACTACACCACATTACAGTTCATATCTGTGGAGTGATTGTATTTTTGAGCAACAGAAACACCTGTAATGAATAAATGCTTGATAAAAAAAAGTCATATCATGGAACATTCCAGGCAAAACAATAACATCTCCATGGAGACAAGCAGGTAGCAGAGCTTCACAAGAAAAAATGCATGGTGCACCTTTAAGCCTGCTATTCATTGCAATGTATTGTTTAGTTTTTAATACTACTATTGTTGGCACTCTTGAACTATTACACTTTGGACTCCACATAAAGCTCACTGTTTTTTTGTTTTTTATATTTGTGTTTAGGATAAAATAAAGTCTTTAGAAATTGAACTGGATGAGGAGAAGAGCGGTGTCGAGCTCCTAAACGACCGGATCACACGCAGCAGAGATCAGGTGAGAAAAAAGTACCCACAGACATATTTGAATATCATGTAAAACCACGGTCATATCAGCCACGTGATGTCACTTCTTGTTTCACTTTTAAGGTGGACCAGCTGCGCTCAGAGCTGATGCAGGAGCGGGCAGCTAGACACGATCTGGAGATGGACAAAAGTGCACTCGAAAGACAGGTACAGTGAATGAGCATTGCAACAGTATTTGTCAAATTACAATCTCCACACACATAGATGTTCATTGTACTGTTTAAATCTTGAGGCAGTAAACAGCAAGATTAGACAAAATAAAGTCCATATCTCATGCCAATATTCCTTCTTAAAGGTGCACTATGTAACTTTTTGATTGGGGGTCTGTCACTTGCTGGTTTCTATGGATATTGTCATTGCTCTGCCTGGAATGTTCCACAGTGTGACATTAAAAAGCTCTGCTTACATTTACTCAATTACATGTGGTTTAATAGCTCAAAAATACCTAAAAAAAAAAGTCATTCTTACTGTGAGTGGGGTCACCTCTCTACAGATCTGACTTGTAGCTTTGTCTGGTTTGATCTCCGTGAAGATAGAAAGATTTAATGCCATACTGTGAAACATTAAAGCATAACATCTTCATGGAGAATTGACTGACCCTCCAGCAGAAAATTTACACAATGCACCTGTAAGTGAGAACTGATAAAAATTAACTTTTATCTTTTAACAAATAAGTTGTAAATCCACAATGTAAAGTTTATCTTTAAATTTCAAGTCTACATATTAGTATTACATTAATTGATTAATGAATTAATTACATAATAGTATTTATAAGCATCTTTGAGTGTCCAAAATGTTCTTTATTTTTGTTTTTCTATCTCCTTCTATCTACTTTGAGGTTGTTTTTATCCATTCCAAATACCCATGCACTTGCTACTTAGTACTGTTTTTCTCTTCATTTCACTGTTCTTGTTTATTTGTGCTTGTCAGGCTCTTTTTGATTTGTATCTGTGAAAGGTGCTATATAAATAAAAATGTTTCTTCTTTATACTCCCTCACTGACTCTGCTGTCCAAACAAATCACAAAAGAAAGTCCAGAAGGGTTTTGTGTTATTCTGGAAATTAGTTTGCAGATAATTTTGCTGCACTTCTATCTTTGTTTATGTGGTTTAGTAATGTGCTTTGAAATGTCCATCTCATGAGACTCTAAAGATGTTTCTTGTTCAGTATTTAAATTGACTGTACTTGTTTGTCAGATTAAAGAGCTGAGGACTCGAGTGGCCGACATGGAGGGGCAAAACAGACCTGCGCCTGGCCTGGCGTTGATGGAGAGCAAGATCCAGGAGTTAGAGGAGAGACTGCGCAGTGAGGAGAGGTACAGATCAAAATATACTCCAAAAACTACAGAACTCTATAGCAGGATTTTATTTAGGTATTTATTTATTTTAAATTAGTAATGCAGAAGATGAGACAGGCACGGGTGACAAGAAAAAACATCATAAAAGCAACAAAACTAACTACAATGCAACACAACATACAGTACCACACCAAGTACATTATAAACAAAGTATCCTTGGATTGAGTATAGATTAAATTTATTAAAGCTGCTTGGACTATTTTGAGTGTATGTGTGCCTGCGTGTGTGTTGTAGCACTCAAATGTTGGATAGGAATGGTCAATATTGACATTTTGGATTTTATTTATTTATTTTGCATTATCTTGTTGACAGTGCATCAGGAATGGCATGGTTAAAGCTCAAACATTGCACAACATGAATGGACCATAACCTGAACTACAAAAATACAGGAATATTGCTTTATACCCTGTTTGGAAAATTACACTAGACACTTTAAGGCAAAAACTGGTTCACACAAAGGACAAAACCCCAAGCCACAAACAAAGCAATGTGATTTACTCTGTTTATTGTATTGAAATGTGCAGATGTTGCTTAAAATTTTTTGTAGTTTTAAATATAGACAATATACTTGATTTACTTTGCATATCTCCATAAAAACTGTAAAATATTATCTCCTACCCTGCAGTACAAATTATCAGTTTGTTACCTCAGTGCCAGTTTTAGAATATCCATACATTTTCTATAAAGATACAAGTGAATTCAACAAAATTCAAATATGTCACAGATATCTTGGAAAACACTTCAAAGAGTAACCTTTATTGGGTATTTGAAACTGCATAAATATTGAGGGGAAGAGAGCTTGAACAAACTCTTTTTAAAAACAAAGTTACTGCAGTTTTCAAATGTAAATATTGTATGAATTATAGATGAATGTACATTTACTGTGATTTTTTTTTTTGCTCTCAGGGAAAAGGCCAGCATTTTGGCCTCTCAAAGACGAACAGAGAGAAAACTTAAAGAGCTCAATGCAACACTGGACCAGGAGAGGACTCAACACGTGGAGCAGAGAGATCAGGTACAATCTAATCTTAGACGATAATTAATTTTACATACAGCCTTCTAGTTAAAGATGCACTGTGTAACTTTTCTTGCTTGTCTCCATGGAGATATTATTGCTTTACCTTGTTTATTCTGCTGTATGGAATTTAACTTGGTAATCACAATGGAGATAGATTAATGATCAGATCTATGGAGAAGCAAACCTGCACATAGCAAGAATGAATGCTTTTTAAGGTATTTTTGAGCTATAATACCTGTAATTGAACAAATACAAGGGAGATATGTTGAATGCCCTACTGTGGAACATTCCAGGCAAAGAAATAACATCTGCACTTAGAATTTAGAAGACTTAGAAGTTACATAGTGCACCTTTAAAATACCTTTGTAGCCCAATCTTTGTACCAATGTGTACCAATCTGTGAAAGGTTTTCAACTCACGTGTGTAGTTGACAGAATTGCCATAGAAAAGTTAACATAGCACTTTATAGATGAGAAATGTACCTGCCAACTCGTAATGTTCAATTAAGTGCAGTTAGATTGAAAACTGTACATGCAATAAAAATCAAGATGAGAAAAACAACAGCTTAATCAAATGTAAACATATATAAATTGTGATGTAAATATGTATGTAATCTAATATAAATTTACTGTAAATTAAGACTTAAAGGGGAAAACCAACAACAGTTTGGGAACCACTGTTGTTGTCATATATTCTCTATTGATACTTTGCATCTGATGTCATCCACAATCCCTGGGGGTGTGGTGCTAACTGTAAACATGCTCTGTCTGAGGCTTTGTTAGACTTTAATCTGATCTTTATTTGAATATAATCTGAATATAAAGAGCTCAGCTCAGTTGGAACCACTGTACAACAGGTGATCTGATTTTTATTGTTTTAGAATTCCTTCTCAAGTAACATTGCAGTCACAAGATACTGTAGTTAGCGCCAACAGTTTTTCAGTTAGTCACTCTCACCTTTTTGTTGAAAATTAAACACCTAAACAAGACCATGAATGCTCGTATTGATCACTGCCTCCTGAAAATGTGCTGTTTAAATCCATTTGGTTGAGCTGAGTTTTCAGAAAGTCTGTGTTTGCTAATGTGTGCTTTGTATCACCATGGTAACTCCTAAACATTCTGCCACAAACATACATGCAGAACACCCCCAACACGATGACACTGCAAAGTATCAATACATTGTCAGTAATGTTTTTCAATACTAATTATAGCCATGCTCCCCACCAACCCAGATCACTCCTTAACCTTTATCCCTGAATAAAATTAGGCCAATACATTCCCATGCTTGACCCTCGCTTGACCCCACCTTGACCCCACTTGACCTTTGACTCTTCCTCTTTAACCCCAGCCTGTCCCTATCTGTCCCACAGTTGACCCTGCGAGTGAAGGCTCTGAAGAGGCAGGTGGATGAGAGCGAGCTGGAGGTGGAGCGTTTGGAGGGCGTCCGGAGAAAAGTGCTCCGAGATTTAGAAGAACAGCAGGAACTACAGGAGGCACTGCAGGCAAAGGTGTCCGCGTTAGAGTCAGAGCTCAAGTAAGAATAATGCACCATGACAGATTAATGACACTTAAAAAAAAAAAAAAAATGAATCCACCTCTCACTTATTTTGGACCTGCCTAGATTCTGTGTGTTTGGCCCTTTCTTATGAACAGGTGCTATTTGGTTTTTGCAGTGTGCATCATATGAAAAGTAAACAATATTATTGAATGAATGGATATGAATCAGTAAGAAAGTAGAGGGAAAAAAAGCAAAGCGCTACAAAAAGGCACTAGACACAATATTACACAAAATTGACTCTTGTGAGCTTTAAGCCATGTTAAAATGTTGTTACCTCATCAAAAACATGCCTGGAGTTGTGTTTTGTTTCATTCACATGTTTGAGTAACACTTTATTATTAGACTGTCTACATCTCCAAAGCTCAGAATGTTTTGTTCCACTTTGTGTCGTCATGTAATGATATTTTGTAAGTTAACAGCTGCCATTTAACCTTTTGTTCAGTAGACACTGACAAATCCATCGCTGAAAACATCCAAGTGATTCTAGTGAAGGTATACGGAGTTTAAAAATACAGTGGAGCACATTTTTGCATATTATCACATCAATGCATGCAGATTTCTTATCCATGTATTATATTCCTAATGCAGATGATGTAATTGACTGGAGATCTGTACCAAATGTAAACTGTGTAAGTAGTTTGTGTGTTGTAGTCATAGTTACGTAGTCACTGGAAAATAAATGCTTCATAATTGCGCTTATTATAGGTATTAGATACAATGAGCAACTGATGCAAATTTACGTAAGTTTGTTTTTTCTATTGAACTTGTGTCCTAGAAACCTTTCCTTCAGTCAACAAGTCCCAGCAAAGCCACATAAAGCTGTCTTCAGTTTGACCCTTGTATTTACACATTTTGGAGGTCGCACCTGCAAAGAAAGTTAAAACAATTCTTTGAAAAATTCTCCATGAAGATAAATCATTTTAGCCAAAGGAACAACATATACATGGAGACAAGCACATGTATAGTATGCCCACTTTCAGACCAACTAAGAGTCAGGTGTGTGGAGTTGCAAGTCCGCTCACTTTAAGGACACAAGTGCAATAAAAACATACAAAATGTAAACACCATGCTTTTATTTTAGTCTGTTTTTCGCTCAAATGTTACGCTGTGGGGCTTTTTCACTGCATTCTCTGTCTTCAGCCAGTGTCAGTATTTCTACCCCATGTAACTTCTGTCCAGCAGGTGGCAGTCTGTCTCTTGCCTTTAATTGTAAACCCTCATTAAATTCAAATATATTAATCTTGACTCTGCTTTTTTTTTTCTCTCTCTCTCTCTCTCAGGCGTAAAGGACATTCTACCCATCGCTCCACTATAGGCTCCACTTTAAGCTCAGAAGACGAAGATGGTTTCTACGACACCAGCCTCTCCACCATTTTGAACGAAAGTCACCTTCAAACCTCCAACTGCTGAAGAAAAAGAAACATTTGTCTAATTACCCCCAGCCCATAAAGAAAATACTCAGGCTAAAACACAACTATGAAAATGATCATTATGTTACGTTAAATTATTTACTATTTACAAGATAAAGTACTGTGCAAAAATCATATTATTTTTATGAGCAAAGGAATATATTATGATAAATTATGCTTATTGATACTTTGCAGTGGCATCATGCTGGGGATGTATTTTGATACATTTCTATGGTGTAATGTTCATCATCAGTTACCACGGTGATTAGCAATAACTACCAAAAACGTATTTAGATTGTCTGAAAACTCAAGAAAAAATACAAAATGGATTTAAACAACACATTTTTAGGATAATGTGATCAATATGAGTGTTCATGGTCCTGTCTCGGTGATTTTCAACAAAAATGTAAGAGTGACTAAATGAAAAACTATTGTGACTCTAATGTTATTTGAGATAATTGTTTAATTGCACATTCTGGTCAGATTGTGTTAAAACAAAGCTCAGATTAAAGTCTAACTTGAGTAACAGAGCTTCAGACAGAGCTGTGCTTACAGTTAGCATCACACCCCCAGGGAATGTTGATGATATCAGCTGTAAAGTATCAATAAGAAAGTAGAAACACTTTTCTGGTGGAGTTTCCATCAAATGCTTTTCTCCATGGAGAACTCCATGGAGTTTTTTTCTTTGTCTGGAATGTTTCACAGTATGGCATTAAACTTTCTATCTTCATGGAGACCAAAACAGACCAAGTTACAGGATCAGATCTGTGGAGAGGCATCTCCGGTCACAGCTAGACTAGCTTTTTCTAGGTATTTTTGAGATATATAACCACGTATAATTGAATAAATGCAAGATAGAGCTGTTTAATGTCATACTGTGGAACATTCCAGGCATAGCATTGATGTATCCATAGGATAGGAACAAGCAGGTGACGGACTTCTAATCAAAAAGTTACATAGTGAACTTTTATATTTATTGAAACATTTTATTTCACCCCTCTACAAAACTAGTACTGGACATAACTGGCTTACATACTGTTCGTTTTTATTATTTGTATTGACCTGTGCATGGTTTACTGAAGTTTTGCATTGAGAAGAACCAAGACCAGATTTTAAACTATACTTTGTGACCAAAAGTTAGCTTTTTAGTCATTGTTTTGTTTGTTGAAGCTTGTTGTCTATATTTGTGTTTTTGCATGGAATTATATCTGCCAGTGTTTTAGCGGCTTTAAGTGTTTTTGTGTTAAAAGTGAAGTTTTTACCACTGAATGTGACACTATTGGGTTATGTGAGACTGAGCCTGTATTTTACATTGTATTAGCTACTGTTCAAGACAATCGAATCCAAAAAGCTGTATATTTTCAATCGGTCTTCATATTGAGATTTTCTACTTTTATAACTACATGTATACCATAACTGTGCGGTCATTGTCACTGTATTAAGGGAGCTCTGTGGTTCTGAACTGGACGGATCTAAAGTTACATTTTACTGTTGCTTCACCCATCCAATTAAACAAATATATAAACAAATAAATTACTTTAGTCCAGGCCAGGTTTACTCCCAGTTTAGTCCTACTATAGACTGTATATATAAATAGGCATATCTAGCTCGCTTGTAGCTGCGTTTCAAATAGGAAGTGAGCATGGAGGCACTTCCGGCTCCATCGACTCTGGCTCCAATTGGCTTGACATTGAAAAATTGTCTCCCTTCTCTCTAACTGCTGCAGTGAGCCTTGTGATTTTGGTCTTGAAATGTTCATATTAACCCACTCTACATGATTGTATTTTTTTTATTTATTGCTATTTTGACAGTTAATTTTGTATGTTAATATATTCCTATTCCTAAAATGGAAACAAATTTGCCTCTTTAACCACTAGGATATGGATTAACACACTCACATAGTCCACTTTTTTATACAGTCTATGATTTAAGTTTGCATTAGATTATATTTTGAGGACTTTTTACTATTTAGACTTTTTACCATATATATATTTTTTATTTGCGTTTAATTATTTTTTGTTTATCAATGGACGATATCCATTCTGAAACTCATGGATATGCTATCTTTTTTCCATAGGTCCTTTTTTTTACCCCAAACCACCAGTTTAGAACCACTGGCTTTTCCCATGCACGTTATCACTGAAAATGCCTTAAAGTTATCTGTTCAATTATTTTGCTGTAGCTTGCGAATCTTGTGGTTGTTTTGTTGATGCTGCTGTTTTATTGCTTATTGATAATGTTTTGATATGCTTGTCTGTGCTTGCATCCGCTGTACATTCCCACTGACATTAGCTCATTTGGTGGCTTTCGAAAACCAGTTGCACTTGGCTATTTGATTGTTATTATTACATAATTCTATATTGATGTTTTGATCATGTCACTTTTAAAATTATTGCTGAGAAACATTCTATGAAGCATTTGTGTTTGATATGAAGTGCATTGCTTTGTATGCTTTTCCAGAAATTTGACAGATTTTAAAATATATGTACAATAAATATGCTTATTGAGTATACACCAAAATAGTTAATTCATATTGTCTCTTTGTGGACTGGGATTCAAAAATAAGTTACAAAGAATCAGAAAAACAGTCATTTAATTATATTTTGAATCATTTGGAAAATTTTATTGAGCACAAATCAGACAGTCTAGGTAAATTAGTAACTGGCCTTTAATAATTTTAATTCAATTAAAAAGTTAATAAAAGTTAATAAAAAGATGGATCAGAGTATTAAAACCTAAAGGTGCACTGCGTAACTTTTCTTGGGGAGGGTGTGTCACCTGTTTGTTTCTATGGATGTGTAACTGCTCTGCCTGGAATGTTCCACAGTATGATGTTAAACAGCTCTACCTTACAATTATTAAATTACAGGTGGTTTTATTGTGCAAAAATACCTAGAAAAACAGGCCTTCTGACTGTGAGCGGGGTTGCCTCTCCACAGATCTGACCTATTACTTGATCTGGTTTGAAGAAAAGCATCACCACCAGAAAAGTTGCACAATGCTCCTTTAAGCTCAGTTGAAAACCTCTGCTCTGTTGTAGACCTGATCTACAGTGTTATAAATAGACATTTTAAAATAGTTTTTGTCTTGTTTGAAGCCTTGATAGTGAATAGAAGTGAGAGTAAAAATCCTTGGTTAAGACAAATATGTGTGCTTGAGTATTACACTGTACAAAACAAAGGTTGCGTCACATTTGGGACTGAATAGACCCTTATGTAATTTAGTATAAAAGTAATTAGGCTATTCATTCATTTTGTGACATTCCAGGTTTTAAAGTTTTAAGAGGTACTACATAAAGACACACATTTGAACAACAACATATATAGACAATTAATTTGAGATTCATTAAATGCTATATTTCTTTTGCTTTTAAAAGTGCAGTGTAACTTTTCTGGAGGAGGGTCTGTCACCTGCTTGTTTCCATGGATATGCCATTTCTCTGCCTGGAATGTTCCATAGTGTAACATTAAACAGCTCTACCTTAAAAACAGGTGGTTTTATAGCTCAAAAATACCTAGAAAAACAGGTACTCTGACTGTGAGACCGGAAGTCTCTCCACAGACCTCAAACTTGGTCTGGTTTGGTCTCTTTGACGTTAGAATGCCATACTGTGAAACATTCCAGACAAACCAATTATGTCTCCATGGTAGTATTTGAGTAAGGATTTATTTCTCCATAGAAAAGTTACACAGTGCACCTTTAAGTAACAGAAGTGAAAATAAAAATTAAGTTGAACTCCACAAGTTCAAGTGATTAATTAGGAGCACAAATAGGCTTATTGTGGTACAAAAATGATTGACAATACTGTAGAAGACTAATTTTGTCCTAAGACACTATTATAAAACGTCAGTATGGGTTTCAGTTTGCTATTATAGGTGCCATTTTGAGGACTTAGACATATAATATTTAGTTTCAAATGGTCAATCTTTATGGCACCTATCCTATTTTTTCATTATTCCGATTGAAACCCATGGATAGGCGTTTTATTTGATAAAGCATGTCACGCAGTTCTGAGGCTTTAAAATGCTGCCTCTCCTTATAATGTGGTTTGTTAAGAGTTTGTGGTCCAGTAGCAACAGAGTAATGTGTGCGTAATCCTGGTTTACCGTAATTAGTGCAGACACAGATCTAAACATGGCTCCTCTTTTTCCTCCCGCTTCACCACAGCCAAGACTCTCGCTCAAACATGTATTTAACTCTTACATAAGCAGAGCAGCGTCCAAAATGGGATAACATCAAGTCATACAAATTAGGGAAAAGTGTAGGCTCTCTCTGGAACTTTTAATGGAAAATGTGCTCATGAGTAACTCTACAGTCTTTACTCTGTTTACTCCAAATATGATATATTATAGTTATTTAGGTTCAGACAACAGACCAGACAGAACCTTTAAGCTCTTGCCTTATATAACAGTGTATGAAAGTAGATCGATTTTGTCTCCATACCCAGTCTTTCTGTATCATCGGTTCTTTCTTTAGTTCACTTTGGTATTTGCTGACCATTGCAGACTGAAAACACTGTATCTTCAGGTTTACACATTTCTTTATTTAAATACAAATAAAACTTATCTACTAGATCACCCAGCTGCAAAAAGTAATATAATTGTTACCCTGAATGTGTTAAGGGACAAATGTATCTATTGTTATTGGTCTAAAGCCTGATTTAAGTCCATGTTTTAGGAGTCTGACGCTATCCATCCATCCATTTTCTTCCTCCAGAGACTTCCTCTAGCTCTTCCTGGGGGATCCCAAGGTGTTCCCAGGCCAGTCCAGAGGCGTAGTTCCTACGGTGTGTCCTGGGTCTACCCCGGAGCTTCCTCTCGGTGGCACGTGCCCAAAAATTTGGACTCTGACGCTGCATTCATATTTGGTTTGGTCCTTGTTTGAGCACAGTCTCACCCTGATTTGAAGGTCCTGATTTATCCTTGGTTCAGGTTTAGTCCTATCCTGGTCCAAGTTTAGTTCCTTGTTTATAATAAAATATAATATAAGATTTTGATGTGGTGTATGAGCAGTGTTGTGAAGTAACTGAAAAGATTAACCAAAAATATCTATTCTGAATACTAATTTTGAGTTTAGTTTAATTTATTTTGTTTATTTGACAGAGACTATATACAGGAGCACTGTAAACCTATTCCGGTACAGTTATTCATTCAGTGATGTTCAGAATGGTAGTGTTACTTTTCTAACTTAAAGGAATACATGTCGATACTTTATCAAGGTAGTTTGTTTGCGAGAAAAAAGAAAACACAGCTCTTGTGGTGCTTGCATGTGTGATTTTTCTTTTCTATTTTGACAAAAAATTAAGTTGTTTGTAATGATATGTCATGTTTTTACACCGTGATATTATGCAATTCGACACAAAAGTATTCAAAATATTCAGAATACAGAACTCTGATTGGATGATGTAACACAATACATTACAAATAACATTTTAAAAAAGGTATTCAGTAGTCTGTAACTAAATATATTTTAATGTATTTCTTCTATCACTGTGTATGAGCAAGTGTGAAAACAAACTAAACACAACTTTGAACTAATCTCTTGCTTTACAATTGATCTCATAACTAACAGGTGCGTGATGATTCAGT